CGTTTGAGTGTCTGTCTTTCTCTGCGAGATGACTCGTTCTTGATGTGCTTGGAGGTGACATCGCCCACAAACTTTTGGAAAGCCGTCCGGCGCATGCGGCTCCAAACGTGCTGGCGTGCTTCACATACCAAATGTCCGACTTCATGGTTGGCTAAGGAACCTCTCCAAATTTTCCGAAAATATCGTCGGCTATTGAGAAGTGCTTTCAGTTGCAACAGTTCTTGAACGCGCATGATGCCATCGCCAAAGTGTACTCCAGGGCCCCACGAAAGTTTAGGAAGTTATACAAGAGATCCGCCTAAGCGGTGCGAGACGTCTGTCAATATCTGCAATCTTGTAAACCTTGCCAGCAGAACAGGGCAAAGAAACAAAGCGGACATATTTCAGTCACTAGTAGCACGGAAACGACTGAGCTTGAAAGCAAAGCGTTACTTAATCATGTGGAAAAAGAAACGCACCCACAGAGCAACGTTCCTTCAACATCGCATCATTCAGTTTTGCAACATAAGGCTCCAGGTTTGATAATGCCTGCCAGCATAAATACTCGTTGCACCAGCGCTGATGACGTTTTGAGCTCTGCACTTTGTTCTTGTAGCCATACACACAGTAAGGAAGCTTCTCGGTCGGGACTGGGCCTTTCGGCAAAAAACCATGCCTGCCGAATCGTGCTGACACCACGCAAATCGCTCGACACCGGAACGACTCTCGCACGAATTCATTGATTGCAGACTTGTCGCGGACGTTTTTGATCTTGACGGATTTCGCCAACAGTTTGTAGAGCCGATCATCCTTCTTGCTCAAATTTCCCCATGGTTGACACGACCGCTTTTTCATCTGAAGTCTCCGAGCAACTTCACGCAACACCAGAGTATCCCGATCGCAACAATGAGACATCAGCTTCGCAACCAGGGTGTCCGCACTTGTGCCCGAGTGACGTGCTTCTTGAACGAGTCGACGAATTTTGGAATATATTTGGACCACATCTGCAAGAGCTCGTAGTCGATGCGCTTTGTTCAACGCCATTCGCGGTTTCGAAGGCATACTTACATGCTCTGTCTGTGGATTTGAATTTATCCAATAGTAAAAACCACGAACACCCACAAAAATGAAACAGCAAACCAATTACCTGAAACAATAAACCAATTAGCGTTAAACTGTTAAATCCTCAGCTTGAGGTTCAGTGTTCGGCAAGCTGTGTGGGAAATCGCTTTTCCAACGAGTGTCCTGAGTTAGGTCTTCGGGCTTGAGGGATGCTCATCTTGGTTAGAATAAAACCCCTCCCTCTTACCTTCCATAAACGATTAACGAAGCAGCCTTGAAGCTGTTCACGATGGACTCCTGGCTTTAGAGGTCCGAAATGCGGAACGAATGTAACGATGCGCCTATTGATTGTTGAATTCAGGTTTGCGTACCTTAAACTGTTTATGGTTTACGGTTTTGAGCTTTCGTTTTTTTGTGCTTTAGGAAATCGTTGGTGTGGAAATTGGGATTCTTTTTTTCAACTGTCTTGCTACAGGTTCGGGTCCCATTGTACACCTATCTGCGGGAACCTAATGAGGATACCTTTACTTCATACTGTGGTCTTGATAAGGACTCGGGTTGTTGGTTTAAGGACCTAGTCGTCATATGGTCGTCCATAAACCATTCTACGTTAATAGACGCCTACAGACCCGAGAGATCCGGAAAGGACACCTCAGAAAAGTTGGTGCCATCGCACGACGCGACAGTTGTCCTCACAGTATTACAGCAATAGAAGCATACAAATGAACATACTAAGTCCTGAGAAAAAGACTATACATAATTCAGCAATATCCTCACAGAAGACATGACAGTCAAGCGTAGTCATAATGGTCTTCCAACCGGGATACCCATATACATGCTGATCATAATGTAGCAAAGATGTCAACGATATTGCTAACAATTAAGCAATCGGTTTCAGAGTTAACAGGAAACGCAAGCAAGCGGTTATAAACATTATTAGTACGATTATTATCAAAGATAATATGAAACTGATAAGTGTGCCTTTTCGTACTGCTATTGATTATTGATTCAGGCGTTAATCCTCGTGATGTTGTTGGCGTTGCTCTTGGTGTTGTTCTTGTTGCTGGTGCGGTTGAACTATAACAAAGAGAATGTGAATGGTGTTATATGTTTGCTAATCGGTTTGAAGTGTAAGTTCTGTTTGGATTTTGGTTCGTAGTTAAAACAAAAATTTGGTGCTATCAAACCGCTGTCTTTCTCAGTTCCATGGCAAAAGAGAGGTGGTTCGATAGCACCAGATTTTTTCAAGGACACCGTTTCAGAAAATTTGGTGCCATGGAGCCGCTGTCATTTCGAAGATCGATACCAAAAGGGAGGCGGTTCGATAGCACCAGATTTTCTGAAGGGCATCGTTTCGGAAAATTTGGTGCTATCGAACCGCTGTCATTTCCAAGCTCGATGCCAAAAGGGAGGCGGTTCGATGGCACCAGATTTTCTGAAGGGCATCGTTTCGGAAAATTTGGTGCTATCGAACCGCTGTCATTTCCAAGCTCGATGCCAAAAGGGAGGCGGTTCGATGGCACCAGATTTTCTGAAGGGCATCGTTTCGGAAAATTTGGTGCTATCGAACCGCTGTCATTTCCAAGCTCGATGCCAAAAGGGAGGCGGTTCGATGGCACCAGATTTTCTGAAGGGCATCGTTTCAAAAAATTTGGTGCTATCGAACCGCTGTGTTTTCCTAGTTCGAAGGCAAAACGGAGGCGGTTCGATAGCACCAGATTTTCTGAAGGGCATTGCTTCAGAAACAGAACACTCTTCAGAAGCTTCGTCGCTATCGAACCGCTGTCGATGCCGCAAGGGAGGCGGTTCGATGGCACAGGATTTTCTGAAGGGCATTGTTTCAAAAAATTTGGTGCTATCGAACCGCGCCGCCTCGGTGGTTTTATGATTGGAAACCACAGCGGGTCAATAGCACCAAATTTTCGGAACGGGTTCCTTTCAGAAAAAATGGTGCTATCGAACCGCACCTTGGAAAACACAGCTGTTCGATAGCACCAAATTTTCGGAAGTGGTTCCTTTGAGAAAGTTTGGTGCTATCTAACCGCGCCGCCTTGGTGGCTTCTTGTGTGGAAAACACCGCGGTTCGATAGCACCAATTTTTCCGAAGCGGTTCTTTTCAGAAGAATTGGTGCTATCGAACCGCGCCTTTTGTAAAACACAGCGGTTCGATAGCACCAAATTTTCGGAAGCGGTTCCTTTCAAAATTTGGTGCTATCGAACCGCGCCTTGTAAAACATAGCGGTTCGATAGCACCAAATTTTCGGAAGCGGCTCCTTTCAGAAAATTTGGTGCTATCGAACCGCGCCTTGGAAAACACAGCGGTTCGATAGCACCAAATTTTCGGAAGCGGCTCCTTTCAGAAAATTTGGTGCTATCGAACCGCGCCTTGGAAAACACAGCGGTTCGATAGCACCAAATTTTCGTGGTGGGTGGGGTGGGGGCGTGGTTGGGGTGGTGGCACGGGGCAGGGGGCAGGAGGCAGAGGGCAAGGGACAACGGGGCTGATAGGGGAGAGGATATGTGTGAGATGGAGGGGGTGATGGGAGTGGGGGGTTGGATTAGGGGTCAGGTGGTGGGGCAGGGCTTGGGGGCAGTGCGGGAGGGGTAAGGCGGGGGCAGGGAGGGGGTAAGGGTCAAGAGGACGGGGGGAGAGGAGGCAGGGGGGGGTAGGGGGCAGGGACAGGAAGGGAGGGGTGAGGGGGAGGGAGGAGATGGGTGGGGGTGGGGGGCGAAGGGGGGGGGGTGGGGGGTGGGGGGGTGGGGGGAAGGAGGCAGGGCAGGTGGGAGGCAGAGGAGGAGGTATTTTAAATAATTAAAATAATTAAAATGGGAGGTGTTTTAATTATTTTAATTATTTCAATTCTCGGGGCCTTTAAATAATTAAAATAATTAAAATGGGTGGTATTTTAATTATTCTAATTATTTCAATTATTTTAATTATTTTAAATATTTCAAATCCTTGGGATTGGGTTCTACTGATATCTATTCAATTATTTTAATTATTTTGATTATTTTAATTCTTGGTGCCTCCAAATAATTAAAATAATTAAAATAATTAAAATACCTTCCATTCCTAGACCCTAGATCCCTGATCCAGGTATTTTAAATAATTAAAATAATTAAAATAATTAAAATGGGAGGTATTTTAATTATTTTAATTATTTCAATTCTCGGGGCCTTTAAATAATTAGAATAATTAAAATAAGCTGATTTTAATTATTTCAATTATTTCAATTATTTTAAATATTTCAAATCCCTGGGATTGGGTTCTACTGATATATATTCAATTATTTTAATTATTTTAATTATTTCAATTCTTGGTGCCTTCAAATAATTAAAATATTTAAAATAATTAAAATACCTTCCATTCCTAGACCCTAGATCCCTGATCCAGGTATTTTAGATAATTAAAATAGTTAAAATAATCAAAATAATTAAAATGGGAGGTATTTTAATTATTTCAATTATTTCAATTCTCGGGGCCTTTAAATAATTAAAATAATTAAAACAAGCTGATTTTAATTATTTCAATTATTTCAATTATTTCAATTATACATCGTCGCTGTACATGGTGATCCCGAGTACGATTCCGAGTGCGAGCTCAGGTCAAAGGTTCAAGGTGCTCCTTGGCTTGTTTCGCTGGTAAAGACCGACAAGGAAATCATGAGCCTCTTGAAGGCCCACTGACAACGCTTTTCTATTGATGTTTCAGCGGAGTGTTGAACTCTATGCTGAGTGAAGCTGACCACTGATGAACATTCTACCAGGGAAGCCTGGGTGTTCGAGTGTGTGTGTGTGTGTGTGTCATCCCTGTGTATCAAAGGGCTAGTGCGGTCAAAGTTGTGCTTGGGTTTTGCTTACTGGTGGAATGAGCAGGGGCACGTGGCAGTCATGTCCTACCGCATGCAACGAAGCTGTGGAAGACTTGGTCACTTTTGTGTGCTTGCCAAGATTTGCTCATGGGTCACATCGGTGGTACATGGGGACCAATGTTGGGTGAACAAGTGTGCATGTCAAATTTTCTGTTGCAAATTCAGTCATGTTCACTTCGTAGCGGCGGTGAGTCTCGAGACTTGTAGACTATATTTTTCGAAAGGCAGCAAGGTGCAACAACGATACAAAACGCACAAACGCCGCAGCACGGACGACATTTCAGATCAACAGGTCTGATTCATGTGTGCGTGTGCGCGCGCGTGTGTGTGTGTGTGTTTGCATTCCCAAGCTTATGACACTTGCCCCGATACTTGCAGGAGGCTGTGGCAGCGCTGCGGGAGACCTGGGTGACGGACACCGGCGCCCCGCGCTGGGACACGCTGAATGCCTTGGCTCAGAACCTGGCGGAGCCTGCAGACGCACAGGGTCAAGGCGGCCCCGACCCAGCGGGTCGCCAAAACAGCTCGGCGAGCTCGTCTCCGAGCTACGGAGAGGCGCAGCCGAGGGGCAGAGCCTGTCTCAAGACGCTGTTGCAACAGATGCAGGGTGTTTTGCTTGATGCGTCCCATAATTCTAATTGAGTTTGTGCGCACAGGTGCTTCGTCGCGTCTTGCAGTCGCCGGAAGGTCGAGCTTTGCGGCGGATCTTGGTGGACCTGGACTTCCGACAGCTGCTCCTGGGCTTAGCGGGGCCGCAAGGAGCCTTGGTCCGCTCTGCAGCGAGCGATGCCCTGGCCGCCCGCCTCCGGCTCCAAAAACAGGCCGGGGCGGCCAGGGCCAAGGAAACGGCGGCTCGGGCTCGGGCCCCGGCAAGCCCGGCCCCGGCCACCACGGCCGCCATCTCCTTCCAGGCCCGGCAGCAAGAGAGGGGCCAGAAAGCACTGCGGGTCCGAAGCTCAGCACAAGCAGGGAGCCGCTGCGATGTGGAGTCCGAGCCTCCGAGCCTCCGAGCCGAGGTGATTCGCGGTGTGCAGCTTCAGCGATTTCGTGGCCTTCATGCCTTGCCGCTCGGCTCCGCTCCGCGACCCCACTCGAGCTCGATACGGGCGGCGTTCTCGCTTGTAAGGCAAGCCACTCTAAGTAAGCTGCGCTTTGGTGAGCGGGTGATTGTACTCTCGAGCCGAGGATGGCCGTGGGCGCTTTCCTGGGTTTGACTTGCAAAGTCTCCTTTTCCGCCTTCCGACGGGCCTTCCGATTTTCGCGCCGATCTTCGGGCCACCAGGGACGATGACAAGTCTCTTAGTACATTTTCCACAGGGCTCCTTAAGTTTCACCCACAGAATTCGCCATAGCGTTCCGCTAGGAAGCCACGAACGTGGCCCAGGGACACAAGTGCGAAGTTGCCCAGGGAAGGTCATTTGAAGGACCTTCGCTGCGCTTCGCTCACGGCTCCATACTCCATGTTATCTCTATTCTCTATTCAATTCTCTCTCTCTCTCTCTCTCTCTCTCTACCTCTCTCTCTCTCTCGACCTCTCTCTCTCGCTCGCTCGCTCTTCTTCCAGTGGGTGGCGAAGCCTGAAGATATCTCCATGTGATCTCCGCCAGCAAAAAGCGCAGGGCCAGGGCGACCAGTCCAAGGTGACTCCGCAAAAAGCGCCACTGCTACAGGCGATAGCCGCTATAGGCTACTGTTGCCCAGGCCACAGAAAGAACGGTGGTGCAGGAACCCGCAGAGGTGTGGAGGCGACTAGTCTGCGAACTCTTCACCAGCATTTCGTTTGCAGTGCTGGGCTGCGGGGAGGCAGCAGCTACAGAAAGAATCTGTTCCTCAGGAGGCGTTGGTAGCAGCTTCGAGGTGGCCGTTGCGAGACACTTGAAATGACGCTTAGCATTTTTCTGACCTCCTGGAGGTCCGAGTGGCAGCGCCAGCGCCGGAGCCGCGAGGATCAGGAAATGCGATGGCGGCGGCAGCTGATCGGAGCTCAGTGAGCTCAGCTGCCTATGGTCCGGGGGACTTTGCGACAGTTGTGGCTTTCGCAGTTAGAGTCGCCGCTATCGGTCGCAGACTTTGGAGGGCACAGCCCCTTGGCCTTGACTGCTCTTCTTGTCGTACAAACAATTGAGTGCTCCGGTCCCGGTCCGCCGGTCCGGGCGGCGCAGCGGTGCTCCACCCGGAGGGCAACCGGAACGTGGCAATTCTATAGCAACGGAACGTACCCAGCGCAAGCGAAGCTGCTCCGGCTTCTGGCGGCTTTGCTGAGGAAACGCTCTGCTGGAGCCTCTGCCTCCGCTGCCGAAGGCGAAGGCCAGCCGCCCAGCCGCCCAGCCGAGCCGCAGTTCTTGAAAACGCTCTTTGTGTCTCTGTCTTTCTCTCTCTCAAAGCCGCTTGACTCAGACCCTGGGTCTCACGCTTGTAGCACGCCCAACCATGCAGAAAACGCAGGGGTGGCGAGCGTGGCTCTGGCATCCTGCATTGTCCCACTGTGTGGAGGGGCCAGGCTTTCCGTGGGGGCGTAGTCATGGGGTGGGGTGCTGTGGAGATGAGCTCCCATGGCTGCGAAACCGCACAAGTGCGGGCTTTGAAGCTTCGTTCGCAGAGCAGGCCACCGCGGTGGAGAACAGGGCGCGACTGACACAATTCGTAGCCATGTTCTCCAGCATGCGTCGAAATTGGCGGCAGATGCAGCTGTTCGTCGTCAAGACCTCTTTGACCAATGCTTGGTACCTGTCCGGCGCCTTCATTCGTCCTTGTTGTTGACATCTTTGCCGGACGAAAGGAGAGGTGAGGTGGGATGCGGCATTGAAGTGAAGTCGATCCCAGGCGTGCCACGAAGCTAGCGAAGAACTTCGCTCCTTGGAATATGTTTTTCTGTCAGCAACGCCAGATTCGGAGATCGTGCGAAAGGGCAACCAGGAATATCAGGTGATTTCCTTGCCGACCAGCCTTTCAAGATTATTGCAAGCTCCGAAAACAGCAAAGAATACTGTGCCCGACGTCGCTGTGCTCGGCCTCTTGACCTGAGAGCGCAGCGAAGCGCAGAAGCTTGGCCTGGCAACGCCCCGCTCGGCCGCTCAGGCGGATCCGAGCTCGACTGAGGGCAATCCTTTCCGCATCAATGCGGTTGCCAGGTCACTGTGCATGGTCTGCGGCTCTGTCCGAAGTCCGGCAAATCAGAATCTGTCCCTTGAAAGCAGCTGATGTCTGACGGAGCTCAGCTTCCTCAAATCCCAATCCTGCAGTATCGAGGCCGCGTGAATTGTGACAGTTGAGTCTGCGTAGTGTCATGAAAGGCTGTGCAGGTTTCGCAGATTGCATTTCAGGACCTTCTTTGGAGTCGGAGCCTGGAGGTTCGGAAGAGGAGCCTGGATTTGGCTTCAACACCTCAGTCTCAGAAGGATGTGAACTTGTTCGTCTTTCGTTTATCAGGTTTATCAGAGCTTTTTCATAACCGTCTTCGCCCGGTGCTCGACCAGATTCCACCGCACATGCCATGACTCGTAGAGCCAGGGTTTGCTGCCCAAAAACACAGAAGCGCATGGAACAACGCGGACTTTTGCGGGGGGGGGGGGGGCACTGTAGAAGCGGGGGCAAAGGGAAGCAAAGAGGCGCAAAAATGGGGGGGATGGGATGTTTCACAGGCACGCCGGGGGCGGGGGCCAGGGAAGAGCCGAGCAGCAACAAAAAGAGAGGCAAACGCGCGGCAGAAGCAGAAGCCCCCCCCTCCCTTTTTCTTGGATCCCCCCCCAAAGCGCGCAGGAAGTGCAGTGGTGGGCCTTGTTGGGTTGGGGCCTCTTGGAGTGCCGCGCCATGGATGGAGAGGGCTTCAGTAGATCCCTGCGGTGACAGCACCATTTAATTTAATCCTTGCGATGCACTGCTGCCAAGCAAGGGCCTTGTGCAGCACGCGCTTTCCCAGCTTGTGACGTCCACGGCTGATCTTAGCCATCGCATCATCACCGACCCACCCAGGCTCTCAACGACCCGGTTGTCATCTCGATTTCGATACGTTGAGTTTCCCTGGGTAGGATTGGCTGCTGAAGGTGGAAAGGGAAAGGGGACCAAGGGGACCAAGGGGACCGTGACGGAGGCTGTGAGCTGGCCAGTGCCATGCTACGGCGGACTTCTTCGCATTCGCCCCCGCTGCAGCAAAAAAAGACCAGAGCCGAGCCTTAAGAGAAGCTTATAGCAGCGCGCGACTCGCGGTTCGCGAGCAGCGCTTCGTCGGCTTCGAGTCTGCCCTGCAGAGGCTCTGTGACGGCCTCCTCCGTCATCCCTGCAGGCCTGCCGCCCGCCCGACTTTCTGCTCCAAAAAAGCCTCTCGCTGCACCAGGCCTGCGGCCGGCAAAGTGCATTGGGGACAGCCGAGGGCTCAGACTGTGATGACTAAATTCTCTGCTTGTCGTAGTTCAAATCCTTTAAGGAACCCACGCCACGGATGTAATCGCATCGGAGGTGTGCCGCCATGAACCCAAAAGCGTTGAAAGGCGATTAACAGCCCGATTCCCCGCAAGTGCCGGAATTCTAGTTGCTCGTAGCACTCCGAGCTTTTCCACCCAGAGTTGCTCACAAGAAAGTCTCTGGGCGTGATGCGGGTTACTGCAGTCTTGCCAGTCGACCTGGTCTGGTCTGAGGCTTTCCAGATGGCATCAAGCTTCCCTTGTTTGGCCAGGATAGGCAAACAGCGTGCCCCTTCGGCACGGAAGGGAAAGAAGAAGACTCCCTGAACAGGATGTTCCAGATCCCATTTGGACCACGCTTGGCAATGCTCCGTGGTTAGAGCGAGTGCGGAACCGTCTTCCGCCTCCACAGGCATGGCCCCATGGCGACCAGCTGCTGACTCTTTCACAGTGCCACAGCTGGTCTCAAACGCATTTCAGGATGAGTCTCCATGGTTTTACGAGGATGACGACTCGTCGTGCCCCTACTTTCGTTACAGCCATTGCCGCATCCCGGGCTAGGACAGTTTCAATGCAGGCACCCGCTCCGCCAAAAGCTCACCTTGGCCACCGTGCGCCCTTGCGGTCAAAGGCCTTGGAGCTGGATGTGGTTGCTTGGTTATTCCTGCCTGTGGCTGCCAATTATTTATATGCATTCGGCGGGTTCACTTGTCTGGCTTTATGCCGTGGAGGAGCTCCGACTGAGCACTGCCACATGCATTCTGGCGGCATCGGCACCTGCCCTCCGCAAAATTGCGCGCTCACCTGTTCTACTGAGGTTCGATCAACGCGATTGCCGCCGAGCAATAGCCTGCCTGTTCAGAAATATGGACGGGTAGTGCCGGCGAGAAAACGATTCAGCAGGGGCTGACACTCGAATCGCCTGCGAGCTTCTCGCTCTGACATCAGCATGTTTGCTCGCTTTGTGCTTCCGAGGGTAGAGAGTTGAAGCCCGCCAGCCCCGTGCCATGGATCCGGAGGAGCGGCGAGTCGGAGAGTCAGCGAGTCGTCCTGCCACCAGCGGAAGCCACGCTTGCGCCCAACGCAGGACGCGGGTTCGTGCGCAGCGCCTCCGGAGCCGTACAACGGGAGCAACGGTCCGACAGCGGGACGCCTGGGCGGATGGTTCAAGCCTGGCACCCAGCAGGGACCCAGCAGGCCCTGGCACTCCGCGAAGATCCGTCGGCTGAGGTCCACCGCTGCTTCTCTGGAAGTCCACGTCAAGGCACGACTAGAAGCTGTTGCCGCCGCCGCGGCCGCCGCGGCGCGGACTTGCGGCGTCTTCCTTCCAGAGGAGATCCGTGCCAACTCCAAGCTCATCGCCGCGGACCTCCAGAACGCGCACCAGGAGGCCCGGCGTGGCCCCCCGTGGCCCCTCCTGGCCTCCCGCTGCGCGATGCTCCCGCAGTGCGCTCTCGGCTCAGGCGAAGAGCAAGATCCAAAAGAGCTTTGCAGGCGAACGCCCCTAAGTGGGGAGTGGGGAGAGGAGAGCGAGCAGAGGCGCTTATACGGTCAGAGCTCTCCGCAGCGGGAGGCGGAGTCTTGGCACCCGGCCTGGAAGAGGCCGCGACAAGGGCGGAGCCGGAGCCGTGTCTGCTGTCTGGCGCAGGTTCAGCTGAAGGTCACCTTTGAGGAGGTCTCCGCGGCGTGCTGCCGCGTGCATTTACGGCAGCCATGCACAGCCGCACAGCCTCCAGCGGCCTTCCAACCGCAGGGCAGCCTCGGACTGAACCTCGACTTGGCCGACGGACAGGTCATCAAAGTCACACCAGGCGGCGCCCGACCCAGCCTGACCTAGCCTGACCCAAGACCTACAGCTTCCTTGTTTTTCACTTTGCAGTCAGGTCAGGCAGAGCAGCTGGGCCTCCGTGTGCAGGACGCGAGGGGGCGGGAAGAGGGGAGGAGTGAGGACCGTGAGGAGTGGGTTTAGGGGATGGTGTCTTGGCTGCTCACGTGCTTGGAGTCACAGGACCGGCTCCTCGCAGTCCGAGGCTGCTCTCTCCCAGCGGTTTCGGAGCCAAACTTCCAAGAGGCGAGCGGATTTTTAGCGTGTCCGTACCGTGCCTGCCGTGCCTGCCGTGCCTGCCGTGCCTTCCCTCCCTTCTCCCTTGCCTCTTGCCTCTTGCCTTGCCGAGGCGGCGAAGAAGCAGCTGTCCTTGGCCAAGCAACGGCCCGCCGACAACTTACACCGTTTCCAACAACCCCCTAAACACCCAAACTGCACTGCTTCTGTACTTCCATGGCAGTGCTTGTTTTGGAAGGTGAACATGACCTTTCTTCGCATCGTCCCGTCAGAGGGCAAGAAGAACAAAGAGGCCCAGGCTCGGACTCAGCAATGCGAGTAGCAAGCCAGTGGCCAGTGCATCGATCTCGGCCCTTGCCGCCCTTGCCCCGGCCCTTTGCAGGAGGAATCGCAGCAGCTTCGCCAAGCACAAGCGAAGATTGACGAACTTCAGGCAGTGCTCCTGAGCAGTCCAGATGGGAATCCCTGCTGTCTCTACAGGTTTGAAGCACTGCTACTTGTTCCAGCAATGTTGAAGAACAGAAGAGACTGAAAGTGCGTGACGGCCCTTGGAAGCAAGAAAGCCGAAGTCCAAGAAACTTCTACACGTTGAAAGGCCGCGCGCACGTTATGTTTGCACTGTGGGCGGCTGCAGAGAACTGGTCTCAAATCTCACATACTGGAGCAATCGCATATAGTCACTCCGTGACTTGCGCATTCACTCACACGCTCGTTCATGCTGGCGCAGACTGTCACGTGACAGCTGAGCAGTGCACAAAGGACGAAACCAACAAAGTCGCGGGTGAAAGCCGCTCTTCAAGCCTGTGAGCCTGGGCCGGTTCAATCAACACGCATCCCCCACAGTCGTCAAAGTTAAGCGACTCAGATTCGCTGCTTACGTTGACATCGAGGTCAAGATTGCTCCTTCCCTCCCCTCAAATGATTCATGTCGAGGTCCTCCAATGTCGGTGGATTGGGCTTGCAACGGCACGGTCATGAAAGGGAGGTTCACTAGATGTGAACGTGTTGGTTTTGGCATTGAGCACAAGAGTCTGGTTGTTTTCTTTTGCGATGTCGTACCAACGTGTACATGTCACGCACGACTCGATCGTACTCTCTTGAACTTGAAGCCGACGTGCTCGAGGTTCCGTGAGAAACACGGAACGACAAGCTCATTCCATGGGTACAGCCGGGGCAGCATTCTTGCTTGTCGCTCTTTTCCGTTTGCCCTTTGCCCTTCTCTACCCGTTGCAACCCGTCTTCCTGCTTGTCCCCTGCCCTTCTCACAACCGCACGCTCAGTCGGCATGATCGCCGCGCTGCAAACGCGCGTGACCAAGAGGTTTCGAGTGGGTTAAACGCTTGGTGCGTGAATATCGGTGATTCTCGGTAGTTGCGGCATTCAGCGAAAGCTTTTCAACAAGCAAGTGCGAATTGGAAGAAGAATTGAACGAAAGCTTCGTCAACTTTCGAAGCTGCCCGCAGTGATAACAACATGCTGCAACATGCTGGGGATTGTGATCTTGTTGATTGGAAGCTTTAAGCGAGGTGCAGGTTGCTGCTCGGACGAACGAGGCAAAGGCAGCCAGAGAGGAGGCCCCGGGCTTCCGCTTCGGCCGCTTCGGCCTTCTCGCCCCGCCGCTTCTCGCCGCAGGCAAAGGCGCTGCAGGCAGAGCTGCAGTTGGCCCAGAACTGGACCGCTCAGGAGGTGCCGGTGCCGGCACGGCCGGCACAGAACTTGCTGGGATTGCTGCGACCTCTGCAGTCTGCAGGAGCGAGAGTTGCAAGCACTCAGATCAGGCGCTGTGTCATTGAAAACATGCAGCACGAAGATTCGTCCTTTGCACAGAACTTGATGACTTGCGGCTGCGGACTAAGACTAACCAGGCCCGCAAGCTCTTTCCTTTGCTTGTCGCTGTTTGAGTTGTGCTTGCGGCCGCAGGCAGAGGCAAAACGTGACGAAGTGAAGGTCGCGATCCAAGATGAGCAGGCTTTAAGAGACCGGGCAGGAGCTGCGGCAGCAGAAGGAGATGAAGAAGAAGAAAAACGCTTACAGAGTGCGCTGCAAAAGTTGCAGACGTCGAACAAAGAACTGGAACTGGCAAGACTGGCAAGAGAGGACCTCGCAGGGCAGCTGATGAGAGCTACGGCGGACTGCATGCAGCATATGCAGCATGAAGAGTCTTCGCAGAAAGCTAGCGCGAGGGCATCCCTGCTCGAAGAGGAACTCCAGCGCGAGAAGACTAAACTTGAACAGCTTCGCAGGCAAATGTCAGAAGCATCGGAAAGCTTGGCAAAGGCAGAGGCAGAACGTGAGGAGCTGCAGGCATCATCAAATCTTCTTGTGGACGAGATGCAGTCGTTGCGGCGGATTCTGCAGCAGCACGAGGCTTTGCTGCAGCGAGGGGGCGGGGCCTTAAGAGGGGGGGCCGTGTCTTGGAAGCTGCAGCCGAGGAAAGCTCGGAGAGCGCGGCGCGGCGGCTGCTCGAGGAGCAGCTGGCAGAGACGAAGTCCTCCGCAACGAAGCTTCGCGAAGAACTGCAAAGGCGAGGCGCCGCGCCTCAAGCAAGAGAAGGGGAGCGCCTTCAAACCCTCCGCCCCCAACGCTGCAGGGCTGAGGCAGAGCTGGAGGAGAAGGAGCTTTGGCGTCGACGACTTTTGGAACTCGAAGAAGAAGCCAGGCCCGCCCAGCGGTAGGGCCGAGCCCCGACAGTGTCACAGTCTCGGCTTCTAGGCTTCAGCCCGGTGGAGAGCTCGAGGTGGAGAGGAGTCTCTGTAGTGTGGCCCGGCCGCGAGATTTCTCACACCTCACGCGAGGAAACGTGCTGCCCAGCTCGAGCTTCGATCTCAACATGACGTGTCTCCAGACCTGTCACTGCCTGTCACCTTGGTTTTCAATCCGAGGTCGAACCTGCTGCTGCTGCGGGACCGTGGAAGTCAAGACTTCAAGATGTGTGGAAGATGCATCACTCCTTCCGGTAGGAGCAGCTGCATCATCTGGAGGCTGAGCGAGGCATCAGCATCTTGGGGGTTCCTGAGTTCCTGCTGCTGACGCTTCTGAAGTCTGATACGGCACATTCACTGCAATAGACCTGACATACACGAGCGGCAAACTCGGCGAGGTAATATCAACCATTTCCACCGACCCCTGCCAAAAAGTGGGAGCTTGTAGTACTCAGTACTGTTGATCGCAGGCTCGGCGCCGCCGAGTGCTTCTGTTTCTTGCAACATTTCGTCCATTGGTGTGGTCTGCTGGTTGTCGTCCCGCTGCGGCTACGGCTACGGTCTTCAAGGGTGAAAATGTGCTTTGTTAGGGTCACGTCAAGGTATGGTTGAGTTCCTGCGTGGAGTTCCTCTTGTTTCTTGTTGGTGAGTGAGCATGCTCGCGATCCTCCAGTATCTCGTTTGGACCATTCCTGAATGTCATCAAAGGTTCCCGTTGCTCGCAGTCTTTGGTAATCTCATTTCCTCACGGGACCAAGCTGCCGCTATCACTAGCCGTGCTGCCGCGACTGCATACTCAGAGAGCGTGAATTCCAAGCCAAGCAGTCGTAAGTGTGGATATGTGCAATGGACCTTTAGGAGGATATTGCTAGGACGGCTTGGCTGCAGGCTTTTCCCTTTCTGTGCGTCTCCTTGTCTCTGGTTTGCTAACACGGGCGAGAACAGATAATCTCTTCAAAGTTCCTTTCGCCTCCTTTCCGTATCGTCCTTGTTCTTCCTTCGTCTTCTTCGGTTTCCGCGGTGTGACGTGATGTAGTTTTTGACATTCCCCCCCACCCTTCTTGAACTTCGGTTTCATGTTCGCCTCTTTATAACAAATTCTACTCATCAGTCTACAGACGCTTCGCGTCGTCCGCCTCGGCCGGGCTGTGCTTGAATTATGAGATCATCGGAGCCACAGGGCAGGGTTCAGCAAAACAATATTTTTGCATTTATTTTGCATTTTTTTTGCGTTTGGGTGTTGCGTTTGTTTTGCATGTTTTTGCATTTGTTTTGCATTTTGTTTTTGTTTGTTTTTTGTTTCTTAAGTAATATTGCATTTTTTTTGTTGCTAGTTGCGTGTGCTTTCTTGATCGTGTTCATGCTGTGCTTTAGAGCACGATTGGCTTCATATCGGAGTTTGGTCCAACCGGTTTGCTCAGTGCTGGCCTTGTTTTAAAGAGGTAGGTCGGTGTGTGCAGTCCAGTCATTGTGATGTGGTGGGGGCATCCAATGCCAGGCCTCAATCGGCCTCCGATTTCAATTTTGGGGCTGGGCCATGCCTCGGCACAGAAACCTTGGTCATGATTTTCACATCAGCCCCACATGAACAGACTGCTTGGCAGTGTTGTCAGCTATTTGTGCTGACGACATCGTCCAAATTCACAGCGAATCAGACACAACTCTAGTTCACCACTATTTTACAGTGTCACATAGTTTTGAAACGAAATCAAGTTTTTTTGGCGCTGCAATATCTCCCAAAGTTTCACAGCCAAACCCCTGGACAATTCTTGGCTGTGGCACAGCTTGAACATGGAGTTTGTGTGATGTGTAAACCAAATGGTCAGCTAGTCAGGGACTATAGTGGCCTAGGATTAAGGCACGGGGCACATTGCATGTTTGGACTACTGGTGAACTTTCCGGTCGTTTGCTTTGCGGTTTTGCAGTCTTGCATTCCGCCCCGATTTGAGAGTTCGACAGATCGCACGCAGGGTGCAGAATAGTGAATAGTGTTGGAAGGCCGGCTTATACAATGTCAACTCGTTTGCAAAGAGCTGCTTTTGTGTTGATCCGGATTTTGATGAACACTCCGGAAATCTATTAGGCTCGCAGAGCATGAGATATGCACAAATGCTCTCCTTAGCCTTACCATGCTACTGCTGCCTCCCACATGTGCAACACATTCCCAGGAACTGCTTCGTGTCAGCACCCAGGTACAGTGCTACAGTCGTGCCCTCTGCACTGAAAGTCTGGAAGGCTACCTTTGCCAGTTTGCTCGACTGTTTTGTTTGTAGAAGGGGATAGGTGCTCAGCATCGTTCTACAGATGGCGGTCAGTGACTGGGATGCTGCGCTCGGCGCAGAGCTCGAAGGGTCAAACATTTTTTCCTCTGAGATTGCGGAGTGCGAAGAGTACAGGACACCCAGCACATGCGAGTCAGATGAAAGTACGGATGTGAGACCTTCTGTTTGGTGGTCAGCAGTTCTGATGAAAGCAGCTGAGAATATTGGTTTGGTCGCTGATGCACAGACGCCTAGCCAGGCTGCCAAGGTACATGTGGTCTCAGGCTGCAGCGGTGGCTGTGCTGAAGCTTGGGCTTTCAAGGCTTGGGCATTCGATTGCGCATCTTACGTTCTGGGAGCTGTTGTAGGAGTGCGATTGACAAAGTGGTTTGCACTGACAGTCTGGGTACACTCTATGTAGTTTCAGTTCATGTTTGTATTGAGCAGTGCGTAGGTATGCTGCGTGTGTAGTGAAGTGTGTCATTTCCATCTCATGATTCAATTCAAAGCCAGCATTCTCCAAGTGGCATCGTTCACGGCCAGGCCCTTCGCATCGGCTTCGAGATTGTTTCCGCCTCGGAGATGAATCAAGACTTCCGACGCTTCTGCCTCTTGAATGATGGGAATCATTGCCGGCACTTTTACACTAGCCTGGAGGCACAGTTGGCATGCGATGTACCGTGCTTCTTGTGTGTGGAGCAGAATGCTGCGAATACTTGCACTGGGCATTTGGAGGGTCCAGGCGTGGACTTGTTGGTAACAGGGACGCCCTGCGACCCATTTTCTGTGCAGCGAGCCACGCGGTTTGCAGACTCACCATGGTGACTGCAGTGGATATGTACCTGAGGTATGAGCCCCATGTGGGCGTTTTGGAGCAAGTGAAAGGATTCATCATGCCTCTGTCTTCAGACCCGAACGCCACACCATATGACAGGCCTGGTGAGGGTGTTTACTGCTTGAGTTTTTCGGGCTTTATGCGTCGATAGCTATGTAGTCAGTTAGCCGCTTCCAGTGCATGTTGTCGTCGTCGCATGGTCGGGTTGTAGTCGCTGCTGTAGCTGACTGTAGCACTGTAGCACTGTAGCAGTACCAGTTGCAACAGTTTGGCAGTAGCAGCTGCAGCCGTAGCAGGTAGCAGCATCCATACTTTCAATCTTTGCTGCTGACTGTGTGTAGTGAGTGTAGTGGCTTCGATTCCCAGATTGAGCACACTGTGCCGTCCAGTGGGGTTGCCCGTGCAGTTTGTAGAGCCATAGACTTGCCTGGTTCCCCACTCATCAAACTAAAGTCGACAGAAGTTTATATCTTCAGCCATCAGGCTACCTACCTACGCCGCCAGGTTCATGGAGGCCATGCAGCAGGCGAACTTCCAGCATGGCGGATACTACTTCGTGAAGTTGCAGCTGGATGCCGACATCTGGCTGAACATTTCGAGACCAAGGTGCCCTTGTTGCTTGTTCATTCCGCCTTGTGTCAATCAGATTCAATTTGGGCAATGTCAGAATGTGTGTTCTATACAGTTTGAGTGAGGCGTCTGGCATGATTTCGGCAGAATGGCTTGCTTGATGAGAACACAAAACATTCCAAGGCCATAGAGCCTACACCCTAGGCCTAAACCCCCAAGCCACCCCAAGGCCCAGGCTTCCCTGAAACATCACCGAATGCAGTAGCCTGGGTTCCCGACTTCCCACCCAGCGCTGTGATACCCCCATCCCTGGCCGACCACTCCTTGTGTTCTGTATGCAAGCCTTGCTCAATTGCTTAGTTTTCTCAGAGATGCAGTGGTGCACCTGGGACCCAAATCGGAAGTGTTTTGATCCCTTCTGGCACGAAACCTCGGCAGGGCAAAGACGAGATTGCAAACATTATCACTATCTTCAGAAATCTTCAAAACCGGAGTGGCTGTACTTGCACAGCCTCAACTGCCTTCGAGTCCAGGGAGTGAGTCTAAAGCTCATTGATTCTACGGTGTAGAATTCCTAGAACCTAGCATCTTGGCCAGTTGCTCAACATATCCTGCAGTCCTCGAAGCAGTTTGGGCTGTGTGTTACTGTGTTGGAGTTTCCGGGTGAAGTTCGTAGGGCTCTCTTGTTCAGGTGCCAGGTTGCATAAGGCTAAGGCGGCTAAGGCTGAGGGCCTTGATCGAGATTCAGGCTATCGTGGTATATTCAGGGGATAGTGCAAAACCATGAAGCGATTTGAAGGGACTTCGGGTCAGCTGGTCAGATTTCGGATTTCGGCTTGCGAACCATGCAGGCTAGCTCTGCTGGCCATGCCCACAGGCATATTTCTGGTTCTGCAGGGGTTGTGTGTGTGTGTAGTTTTTGCAACGCTTCCAAAGTTTCTAATATTCAAACTATATAGGGCAGATTCGCAGAGCTAACACTGCCGCTCGATGTAAAGACCCATATAAGCCTGAGGTCCCAGGACTGAGAGACCATGACTTGTCATTGTCAAAAGCAAGTTTGGGCATGGCTCCTCCACATGTCATCAAGATGGGGCATGGCCGATTTCGAGTGGGAAGATGAGGAGGATTGGGTCGCAGAGCTGAGCGAGCCAATCAGAAATGCCGAAGCAGAAGCAGGTCGCGAAGATGACCCGGGGAATCTGGTGAAACCCAAGCTGCAGATGCCGGAGATGACTGGTCTCAGGAGCTTGAAAGAGAGCTCGCTACAGCTTCCGATGTTCAGGTGCCATCTGCACCTAAGCCGGTAGGACGGCGTGCTGGTAGACCTCGAGGCAGTGTTAGCCTGCGTGCAAGTTTGCAGGGGCATCTGCAGCCAATTGGAGTGCCTGATCTTCGAGTGGCAGACAGGTTGGCAGCTAGTAGGGCTGCTGCAGCAGTGCAAAGGAAGCAGCGCACTGATGAAGCTGTTGCTGCTTTCGGGCCAGAGCACTTGCTTGTGCAGCTTGGGCCACTGGTGCAGCGTACAGTGGGGGCAGCTTTGATCGCTTCGATACGCAAGATCCCAGAGCGACCAGCCCGGAACGATGCTGGAAAAAAGACTGTTGTGCAGCAAATCCTAGCGGTGACGTTCTGACCTGCAGTGCCAGCACTATTGCTCGGTTGGCTGGGCGAGCAAACAACCTTGTGCAGTCCATGTTTTTGCAGGCGGGCTCTGCTGTCGTGGAATCAGCAGGGCTACTTTGGAATGTTATGGCGTCTACGTGTGTGCAGGCAGCAGCCACCTCCAGCAGCTTGGAACCGGTCATGATGTGTGTCAGCCGCCGCTATGATGAGACCCCTACAAAGGTGCGTGTGACGTCCCTCAGTACGGATGTGATGTCCAATGAGCAAGGGCGACTGGTGTTGGTGCCCAGGTCGGCAGCAACCACCCCAGCTCTTTTGTCGCGCTTTTTGGAACACCTCAAATTAGCACCGGCTGCAAGGAACACACAGCAGACAGCGACCCATGCAAAGGTCTTGCAAACTCAGCTTGATGTCGGAATGCTATTCGCACGAGACCATGCAGGAGAGAAGAGGTTTGCTTGGGTTGTGACAACAGTACCGACCGTGCTCCAGGCGATGCAGAGATCTACAGGCGAAGTTCAACTTGCCTGTGTATTGGAGTCTTTCGGCACTCTGGGAAGCCTTGCAGAACTGAACAGAGTCAGCTCTGCATTTCCTTGCAGGGTAAAGGCTACCACAACAGACAGGTACAGCGCCAACTATCGAACAGAGGAAGGGCTGCGGGTACATTTTGGGAGTTTCCAATTTGCGCACCTGCTGTGCGATTGTCACAGGTGTTCCAGTGCAATCGGCAACTCATTGAAGTCTGTGCAATCAGACATGTCGATCAGACATGTCGGGTGCCATCAATACTGCGCTTGCCCTATCCGACCTAGGGTCGGTGAAGGTGCTTCGTGACATGCTCACTGCCATCTTTTTCGAGGAGCTCACCATTCACCATGAGTCCCCCCCACCATGCGAGTACAGGGCTGAGGTGTTTCGTCTCTTCCTCCCCATCGACGGAGGGGTGCCACTTTCTGTTCAGAAGATCAACCGGCGCCGGAGGTTCATCTTGCAGGCCATGCTAAACGGCCCGATCGATGCAGTCGACCGGCTCGACCACTACTGCCAATGGGGATGCTGTCGTGACGCAGCAGACACTTTGTCGCTGATGGCACTTATTACTGCACATGGGCACTGGTTCCGTTTGCGTGTCCAGTGCTCTGCAGAAAATCTTGGCTTAATCAAATGCCAAACCTTCATTTCTTGGGGGCACTCGAGTCCCACCACGGCTTGCATGTTCGACTGATCAGATGCTTCTTGGGAGGTCCCACACAGGAACCGACCCCGAATCGTGCACGTGCAGCCAGTGCCAGTGACTGGGACCAGGAGTTGCAAGCCGCCCTTGAAGATGCTGGGCTCGGCGACCATGGTGCTGCTGGGGGTGCTGCTCGGGCAGAAGGCCAGGAAGGCACGAGTTCGTTCAGCAAGATACAAACTGTTTTATTGTGACCTGCCTATACTACCAAAACGCACTCGTGCCGAGGCACGAGGTACGACAGTGTATGCTAGCGCTAGTATCCCTGTGGGAAACATCGAAGGTGTTTCGCTAGAAAACGTCGAAGGGGTTTTCCTCTGAAGCTAAACAGAACGAAGCCTGTCTGTTTGCTAGAGTGACTGCACATGGCCGGTGAAGCATGCGCTACTCCGTGGCCATTGTGCTGAAAGGCCCCCAGCTACTGGGCGGCAATTTTCGAGTGGGGGTAGGAAGGGGAACAGGGCTAATTAGCCCTGCTTCGGGTGCGCTGCCATGTCGGACAGCGACGCTACCCTGGCGCCGACCACCCCAGGTGGTGCAGCTGCTACAGCCGTCGACTGCGCTACTGTGGTTGGGGATTCCCCGCCCCCGCTAAGTTCTTGTCCCTGCGGAGCTAGGGGGGGACGATCCTCCGGGGAGGTACCCTCGTGGGTCCCGCAGACCCCAGCTAGCGACCCGCAGCCCGAAGAGGCGGGAGACTCTTCCAGGGCTGAGGTGGAGGCTGAGCTAGATGCGCAGGCTACGGTCCAACAGGAACGTAGGCGCACGCTAGACAGGGCCTACCGGCACCTCTCCAGCCAAGGGTTTGGGGTCTTGGAGCTAGCTGTGGTGGACCTGGATGACGCGGAGGACGTCGCTAAGCAGCTAGCTCGAGAGCTGGGTATTCCTTACCAGCCGTGGCTATGGGATGGCGTTTACTGTTGGCTGCAGGAAGCACGGCAGGAAGCTACGGTCTATCAAAGGGTGCATGGCTACTTCCAGGACGACATCACCTGGAGAGCCCGGATGCCACCGCTACCGGTTCCAAGAGAGGAGGCCGAAGAAGCTATGCACCAGCCTCCGGTGCCGCTAAGACCTCCCCCCGCGGAGCGGAACCGAAAGGTGCTACAGCCCGGCACGATTAGTGCCGCTAGGAAGCTCCGTGAAGAGCTGCTAGAGATACACGCCCCTGTTCTCGCTAAGCTGCATGGGAGTCTGGATCCCGTGCGGGCAGCTATGTTGCTCCCAGGGAAGACACAGGCTTCTACTTTGAAGCGCTACCTGAGCTACTACAGGCAGTGGCGCCAATGGCTCCACGCCGCTAAGCTCAGGCCGCCTCCGGGCACCGCTGCTGACTTGGTGGATTACCTCCTCGCTAGGAGCGATGAGCCTTGCGGCCGGTCGGTTCCGGAAGCTATTCTTAAGGCTATCTCCTGGATGAAGGTGGCCGACTTCCCGGTCGAGCTACGGACCACCTTTGGTCGCCTGGTCTGGGCCGCTAAGGACAGCATAGTGGAACAGCTAGCGGAGGGAGCCCCCTTGATTAAGAGGGCTCCACGCTACCCAGTTTACATGCTGGTGCAGCTAGAGCTGGTGGTGATCAACCCCGCCCTGGCGGTGGGCTGGCGCATCTGGGCCTGGGCTAAGTTGGTCAAGGTCTGGGCCACGCTAAGATGGTCGGACCTTCAAGCTATCCTGCCGGCGGAGCTATTGATGGTGGAGGGGCGCCTCACCACCATCCTCCGGAAGACAAAGACTTCCGGTGCTACAAGAAGGGTCAAGGAGCTACCGGTCGTGGTGTCGGAGCACGCCTTTCTGGTCGCTAGGAGCTGGCTGGTGACCGGCTTTGATCTCCTGAAGGCCCACGCTAACTACGCCCGGGACTACCTCATACCACGGCTGGGCCAAGCGGGGCAACTGGAGAAGAAGATGGCTACCTATGCGGACGCTATGGTGGCAACTGCGGGGCTGCTGGACGGAGCACAGTGAGCGCTCGGTGCTACCAACGGGTTTGGCGCTAGCGCCAAAGGAGATCCCACCGCAGGATAAGGATCTGCTAGGGCGTTGGAAACCCGAGGGGTCCGACATAGGGTGTCCCGTCTCCAAGCTCTCTTCGCTAAGACAGCTAGGGGCGACGACCGCTACGAAGCGGTCGACGAGCGTGAGGTCGGAACCCCTTCACCTCCCCTCTCTGCCTCCTTTTCTCTCTCTCTTCCTCCTTTGCGAAACGCCGCTACATTTTTGAGGGGGTGTGCTTGGGAGGGGGGGGTTCATGCTTCATGTCATTCATGTCTTATGTCTGAATCCCCGAAAACCCAAAACCTGGTTTCATCCTACAAAACCTGGTTATTTCCACCAACCTGCTTTATAATGGGTTTTGGAGGGCGTAGGTAGGCGATGTAGCTCGGGCGTCCTTGCCCTTACCTCCCATAGCCGTGCCCAAAGCACGGATCGGGTGAAACGGCTAAGAAAATCTAGCTACCCAAGGTAGCGAAGCCGAGGGCTATCCGTGGGAGGAGGTTTAGCACAGCCACTGGCTCCTCCAAAACCCGCACGTTTCGTAGCGCCTTCCTCCGCTCCTTAGCTCCTTCCTGCAGGACGGACCTAGCGCAAGCACTGGCTCCTCTCCTAGCTCCTGTGTTCGCTGGGTGGCCAGAGGAGGGGTCCCCCGGCCCCGGTTTAGAACACTAGCGGAAAAGCACAGGCAACACAGCAAGTGACATGTAGCAAGAACGTGGTTCCCTCCACTCTCTTCTTTCTTCACCCCCCTCCCCCTCCACCCCCCGGCCCACAAGAAGGCCTAGGATGCGGCTAGTGTCCTCTCTAGAGTCCTACGAATTACTTGCTGAGGGGCGACCCGCCGCGATGTGCGGCTGGGCCGCCCAATATAGTCTTCTTCGATTTGGCAACAGAAGACACAAATGTTGAGGGTCCACTCGGACAACTGTGCTTGATCCCATAAGATGTAAAATAAATGGTGAAGCCGGTGGAGGTTTGGGGTCATCAAAAACAGCGCGCGCCCACTGTTGTAAGATAGACGGGCAGAATGGCCGAGGTAGCGAAGAAATCTGAAGCCGTGCCTGGAAATCTCCAAAGACTTGGTATGCCAGATCCAAACAGCTTCTTTGTAGCTCTTGCTGAGAAAGGAATTGATCTCTCGAGCCGCGAGACAAGCGTATTGAAGAATTGATCCCTCGTCAATCAAATGTGCATGCCGAGCACACGCACTAAGAAACCAGCGCAAAACACATGTCGACGTGGATCCTTTGCTCCAGCTCGCGGTCGGGTGGTCTGCTGCACTAGGCCAGCCAACTGTTTCGCGCGAGATTTTCCTGATCAGAGGGTTTTGCTTGTGCCGCTTGCACCATGACAGAAAGTCAGCAGACATGGCTTCGAAACGCGAAGGTATGCTTCTTCCTGGGAATATTTCATGCAAGAGGACCAAACATGAAGCGAGGAACTGCTTGGCCGCTCCTAGGTGAAAGCCGTGGAATATGTCTTGTCCCAAGAATGCGGTTTCATCCGTAGGGTCCTTTGGCAGCGACCAGAAACTCGGAGAGCCCCGATACGCTCTTTCTTGATTGATGGTCTCACGCCAGGCTGGAGAGGCCGAAACAAAATCTTCAAACGGATAATTCTCCATATCGGCCTTGCAGCAATGACAGATCCCCTTCGGCGCGGCCTTCGAAGACTCCTGCTTGGAGCAGTTCTGGAAATTTCGCAGTAGTCCGAAGGCCTTTGTCAACCAAGGCCAATCCCCGATGACATTCAATATCACAAAATGATATACTTCACCAGTCACTGCTTTGATGCCTTTCTCGTAAATTTGGAGAAAGTCCTGCACGAAAACGTCGAGGTAATCCTGGAAGAACCGATCACCGTCTTCACACTCGTAGTAGGTTTTAGGAAGGCAGCCGAGAATCCAGCGGGTAGATAAGGTGTGGCGAGTCAGGTTGAGGTACTGTTTGCAGAATGGCTCGGGGTGTGCATCTGCTGCCACATTGCTGCCATAACCTAGTATCGAGTGACATGACAATACAAGGATGGCCGACTTCTTCTTCGTGCGGCCCTCATCCCCATGCAAAATCAGGCCAACCGTCCTTGACAAATCAACCTCTCCTGCAGCTGCTCGGCGGAATATATCATGATGCGGGTGGATCTTCTGATATCGGGCCCAGAAACACTTCCAGGTCGAGTGACACCTGGTGAGGTCGGGGTGGGTTAGCCCAGACAGTGTATGCAGGAGGTTCCGACCCAGCAAAAACGTGAGCCATGCACTGAGCAAAATCAAGGGAACTGGCCATCCATGAAGCATGACTTCAGTAATCATGATGGGTAGCGTCAGCCGGCACCGTCTGGCAACTCTGTGGGCGTCACGCTCGCTGTTGTTTTCTTTGCACCCAGCCATAATCCTGATGCTGGAGCCCACAGCCTCTGGCACTTCTTCAAGCACCGCACGGGCAGCTCGAATCGCAGAGGTGACCGGGGCCTCGGCACAGCACGTGCGGCGTGGGTTTGGGTGCAGTCATGCAGTGCATGCAACAGATCGAACGTCAATCACGAAATTCCAGACAGTGACTCATCATAGACAAACAGTCGATCTGAACTGCACAAGCACAAACAAGCTAGTGTTTTACACTCACAGATGTCTTGCCTGATGGGCCTAGACACGACGACGACGGCACACATGAGCAGAATCGCATCGAGGCAGATTCGTCTTTTCCATTGATCGGGAAACCTCCATGGAATCATGTGGCCGTCCCGTACTTTTCTAATTAAGGCATTGCTCAAGCAGCTGCGATTTCAGCTGCTTGCATGATCCAGTGCATATGTGGATTGCGATTGAATTGTGCAGCAAGAAGTTCACATGCTGACCGCGTCACATGGCTTGTGCTTCAAGCTCCGGTACACAACATATGTCATGTGTACAGCCGGCAATGCATCATCTTTGCTCAGGTTGTCTCCGCCGAGCCGAATGTTTCGACATCCAGGCACACCTTGGCTGGTTGGAAATCACGAGAATACTCATAAGATTATAGAAATCATAATAATAGCCGCAGGTGTAAAAGGATATAGGCATATGGGTAGGTTAGCGGGATTGATAGAGCATGGTTCTCAACACCGGCCAGGGAACTGCTGTATTTCTCTATAAGGGCGGCTTCCAGCATTGCTGGGGAGAATTTCTCGGGGCATAGAAATAATATTACCATGCCTTCCCAATGATCCCTCTCGAACACGTAGCCGTATTCCGGACACTCCCATCGCCTAACTGCATCGTGGGTCATGCCGATCTTGAACAGCATTGGTGACAATCTGGTCTGCAAAGAGTCTATGGTTTTGATCGCATGACGAAGAACACCTCCGGCTGTTCGAGCACGGACGGGCAACCTCCAACAGACTTTGTCATGAGCATCAACTCGCTTAAGTACGTCCCTGATTGTAGGAATGATGAGCACTTCTTCAGGGAGGTCTGCATCTTTCCAAGAAGATTGAGTTCTGCGGAATAGGGTGGAAGCTACAGTATTGCAGGGCACTTTGTTATCAGCACCGAGCCGAGAATACTGCTCTTGCTGACAGCCACGTCGATTCAAGGTAGATGCCGGGCTCATCCACGGAAACGGACCATCTTTTTCCTGGGATGCTTATGTGCAGAAATCTGTTTGCTTCTGGGCTGGGGTGAAAGCATTGTTCAGCCGAGATTGCAAACCAGTGGCACTTCTATGACACGTTAGCAAATCCCACAGCTCCTCATCTGCATCTTCGTAAGACACCGAGCACGCCATCGGACGAAACCTTCCTGAAATCTACATTCTAGCCGGCACTTGCAAAAGTCTGAGCCACGGAAGCATGCCACAACAAGCCAGGTCCAGACAAATCAAGGCCACAGCATCAAGTAGCAATTCCGAGTGAAGCCCGGCTAGGTCGGGGGCCCCATCACCGATGTCCTGGATCCATCTTCGCAAAGCTGGGCCTGCAGCACCTGGCATGCATCGCGGGGTTTTCTGTTGGTGGCTTTGAAAATTTGCTCGAACATGATGGGCTGAATCCTTCTTAGCATTATTTGGGGATCGGGTTTCATTTCGGGTTAGCTTATTCGGGATTTGGCATTCATCGCATGCATGCAGGCAGAGCAATTGGTTTTCTTTCGGAGTGCGCACAAAGAGCCTTTCCCCGGCCCGTGAGCATAGCTAGCTTCGGACTGTGAGTTCACTCGACTTCTAGAAAGCCGAACAAGAAAACGAGATTGCGCACACGACCATGCACCCGGCCCTTGGCTGCTGTCTTTGACCCCAAAACACACAACAAGACCTTTTTATCTTGTATATGGTAACATATTAGCTGTGATTATGGGTCTGTACAGATATGAAGCCACTATAACCGTAGGGTGTATAAAACTGCAAAGACAGATTGTGGTATATGCGGCGCATAAGCCACACCAGGCTCTTCGACGTCAAGCACCTAGGAGCTTACGGTATTCGACCAAGCACTTCTGCACTTACATAAGTTAGAGTGTGCGAAACAACACAAGTGGAAGAGCTCAGGCAGAGGCACGATCAGTGTGAAACATGAACCTCGCTACATCCAAGGGCTACCGACGAATCTAGTGGAAACATCGATCGCACAGTGCCTGCTGTGTAGCAGACGAGTGATCCGTCCCGATAAAACATCAGGATCTCCTCCTGCGCTTCGCCGGCGCCTCTTTTGCCTTGGCCTTGGCCACAGCCACCTTGGGGTTAGCCTTGGCAGCGGGGTTTTTCCGAGGCTCCACTTCAGGAGCAGCTTTCCCATCCTTCTCCATGTGTTTCTTCGCATTCCTGCATGGTTTTGTTTTGCATTTAGGGCTTTTGGGGGTTTTCGAGGGTTAGGGGTATGTTTGTAACTATATTAAAGTCTATATATTTATTATAATATTGAGGGTTTTTTGGGGGCATGTGCTCTATATACATATACATATGGATATACACATATGTACTTACCATATATGGGATTGGTCTATAGAAGGGTCTTACTGGGTTTAGAGGGTTTGGGAGCTTGTAGTTTTGGGCTTGTTGGAGCATCTGGGTTTTTCATTGACGGTCCTCGCACGAAGATCGCAGGCTGTGGCTCGGCTAGACCTGAGGCGGTAGTAGGCAGGTATGGAACCAGGTAACATCGCAGCACTGTGCCCAGGAAGTTGCACTCTCCAAACCCAATCCCCAAAGCCCAAAACCTTATTGTAATGTCTATGGCAACTTGCAGGGCCTTTATGTGTGTATACATGCATGTATATACACAAACACAAAACCTAAATACACATATATACCTAGCTTCGACAAGTATCATGCAAGCCCACAAACTACATAATTCGAAACCAAACAACAGCATAATCACATAAACGGACCCATGACTCAGACACTTGCGGTGATCTCAGGGATGGGCACATAGGTGGCACCCTTCATCAACGGCTCGGCCGTCTTCCACCATCTTAGCTTGCAAGCACTGCACTCGAAATCCCGCAAACCCCAACATCATGGCCCCGAGCACGAGAATGAACCCCAATAAGGCCCGGTCTCTGAGTTGAAGCCACTAATCTCCGCTTGTGCCCAATGCAAGTTGAGCTTGTCATGCTCCTTCTCCAATTTCGTGATGCCATCCTCCAAGGCCTTGACATGCCTGGAAGCGCGAGCTTCGATGTTCAAGGCCACATCTTGATTGAGCAAATTAGTTTAGCCACAGGTACAACAGAAAGGCACACTAGTCACACTGGGGTTCGAACTCAGTCATCTCCGTGGCCTTGGAATAATTTTTGTTCAAATCCTTGACCAAGGCCCGGAGTTTGGAACTCTTGCTCAGGAGGCCCTCCATGAATTTCCAGAAGATGGCTTTTTGCTGAGGGCATCAGGGCGGAACGGAATCATACAGCAGCACTGTCTATAGGGGTGACATCTTGGTTTGCAAATAGCATGCAGGCCTCACCCTCAGACTTCTTGGCATCTCCACTCCCATCAGGTCCTGCCGGCTCCGGGAGAACCCGCTTGGTCATGTTGTCGAAGCCAGCGAAAGCATCCTTGGGCAGTTCCACGGGGTTGGCAGCCTCGGTAGTATCGTGTACACATGAAAGTTCACAGATCTTTCTTGAAATTCTAGCTTGAGGAATTGCATGAGTGTCGACCGATCAAGTACTGAAGTCAGTTTTTCTTCAAGTTACTATGCAGCAAAATAGAGCTCATGAAGGAGTCTGCAGTGGAGTGGCTTCACTCCTGCTCCTCTGAATCTCCTCCTCCTTCAGGTTCTCGACATGCCGGCCCGTTTCCCTGACCGTCACCCAGTACTCCAGGACGCCGTCGTAGACGTTCCTCCTGCAGGCACAGGTATATAAGTGGGATGGATCAGGACAGTTCATCGGTGATTGCACGCAACAACAGTAGATGTGTGCCTTATCAAGAGGGACGGGTTCTTCTCGCAATGGGCCACTGCGGCGGTGATCCTTTGCCTTGATCATCGGACCCCACAAACCCCATGAAGGTATTGTCCATGAGTGTTCCGTGTACATTGCAGCCCCTAGAGCCCATGTAAATGTAAGGGCTCGACGAAGACCACTTGAGATCTGTCTTCATCTCACTCTGCGAGTACCAACCTTGATCCTTCACAATCTCGATCTCGCGGGTGCGCTTCACCACTTTCTCGAGCTCGTTCAGGAACGATGTCTGCCAGGGTCGGCTGGCCCAAACCCATTATATTAATTGCCAGACTAGACTTTAAATGCTGGGTTGTATATCGATCTATGTATATATTTATGATATATATATATATATATATGGATTATATATATATACACACCAGAAGAGCAAACCATATGATAAACCATACATATCTGTATGTACAACATCAGCAGTATTAACATCTTATGAGTGAAATAGAATATTTTAACAGCATAAGGAAACACTACCTATCATCATAGATACATATATGCATGTAGTATAAGAATATGTAGAACTTATAATACATGCAAGTTATGCATGTACATGTAAATACATACCCGTCCGTAAGTATTTATGGTCGATAGTGTGTATAGGGCTTGAAGGTTTTAGTAGGATTTGGTAAAAAAATACCTACAGAGTTGGGTTATCAGGGGAGCCCGACCTTGTCCCAGTTCACTTCCTGAAGGAGGGCGGCCATGGCCTCCTTCTGAGAAGTCCCTTTGTTCCATTGCTCAGCCACCCAGGCCGGCACCATTAGGTCTGAACGTTTCGCTTTCGGTTTGACGATGCGGCGAATGCGCTGTTTCGCGGCATTCTTCAGCATCTCCTTAGACAACTCGTGTATAGCGCAATATTAACGTACAGCACACTACAGTGGGACCCAGTGGCCTAGCTCACCAAAGTCGGACAAGTTGCACGCCTCGTCGGAGGGCGCTTAGCCTTCTTCTTCTTGATGAGGCCCACAGGATATCCCGTCGGATCTGCAGGGGCCGGTGGCTCATCCTGATCAATGTCACGGAGAGACAGACCGTTCAGTTTGACGCAAGAGTGCAAGAGACATGCATGTACAGGATCCCAAGGCAGGATAGTTCACGTCAAACCCGACAACAGTGTGTGCATGATCTTATACGTAATCTTGTGTGCCCTCTCCTCGCCCTGCTCTTCCTCCTGTTCCTCCTGTTCCTCCTCATCTTCTTCTTCACTCTTCGATAGGAGGCTGGGCTCAGTCACTGCCGGCACACCTCCCGACTCAGGCGGTGGGGCCACGGCTGGGATGGCTGGAGGAGGCACCGGTGTCGGTGGCTCATCGACCTGCAGGGGAAATACGATTATAAGAGAAAAGTCTGCATTATCGGCCGATCAGATGATAGCAATGTAAGACTTTACCTGTGATACTAGCTTACTAGCAACCTTGCCTGCGTATTTTCAAAGGGCTCACCGAACTGGGCAGGCTGCGTCTCGTCTTCGGAAGGTCGGGCTTGCTGTGCATCCTGCATAATCATCACACTACGTTACAGCATGTTACGAATATGTGTACAGTCACGGTACACGATTGCTTGGGTCAAATTTGGGCTATTTAATTGACGGACGTAATAATTGCTGGGGATTGGGCAATGAGATTCATCGGATAGGTTACATATATATATATATATACATACATAGATATATTCTAAGAGGATCTTCTGTGTAGATGAGAAGGAGCTCAGTCACAGCACAATTGTAGCTCTATAGGCTGATTGGCCAACACCATACTAGATACCACCACTTGCCTCCCGGGAGTCCAAAGACAAAGTCGAAATGGAGGCCATGCGGATGGGCTTCTTGTCCAGGATAGCAAGTTCAGCCTGTAGCGCCTGTGACAGGAACCGTTTATCCATCGGTCAATCAAATCCCACAGCTTGCTTGGAATCGTTCTTATATAGCTTAAGTTTGAATATACCGAGTCAAAACCCCGCCTAACCCTATGTCAGGTTCAGTATAGTATGTGATGTGTTGTCAATGTATATATATATATATATATGCTGTATAAATATCCGCGAGGAGCCCTAGCCCTAGAAACCCTGTCAGGTTGGTTGCATGGGCAATGCCATGTTCTCCCAGGCAGCCTGATGGGGAGCTATGTTGGGGCTTGATACTTACTAAGTACAGAGACAACTATGGAAACTGAACGGTTCATATTGTGTTACATATGTTTCCTTATATTGAATATATGGGCTCTATATGCACACAAGTATTATATATATATATATATACATATGTACACATATTTTTATATATACGGCACACAGTCCAGGAACACCTTCTCTCTCTTTCTTGCTCCACACATATGTAAATATGTGTGCATATGAACAGTATGTGTAATCATGCAGGGTGTAGGTCTACCACACCTACCGACATATATATATATATATACACATATATCGAATGTTACAGACATAGACCTGCGCATGGTTGCATCCATGACGTTTTGTGTATATGCATACACAAACGTTTATGTGTGTGTTCCCTTTCAACATGCACAGCATTTGCATTTAGATACATATAGTATATATACATGCGTAATGTATATGTACTGTGACACATGTGTATACATACATACACACACGTAGATGTCTATATATATATATATATATATACATATATATATATATACACATATATACACATATATACACATATCATCTGTATACATATATATGTATTTTCTATATATATATATATATATATGCACATATATATATATATATGTATGTATATATGCCTGTACACATGTACACTAAAGTAAACGTTCTGATCTATATATATATATATATGGGAAGAGAGAGATAGACTAGTTGCGTACACACGCACATGCAGACACTCACACATGCTTATACATCTATGTATATATATATATATATGTGTATATATAGGCGTCCACACACACACACGAGTTTTCGTTATAACACCGACTATGTTGTACTTATCGATGTACATGCATGGATAAGTCATGACCCCACACGATTGTGTAGCCTCGCTACTCTTCGATCTTAAAGACTCCATAATGGAAACCGGTGACCGATCTACATTATTTACAGCACACCAGACACGAAAGCTAGGTAAGCTGATATATTGCTAGAAACAAAAGCACTGGCACGGTCTCCGGCCTTCAGTTCTCCTAGGAGCTCCGCTTCGGATCTTTCGGGGGTTGCTGCCAGGGCCTCTTGCGTAACATCCTGGGCGCCTAGCGCTAAAGTAGCACAACTCCACCTGCCCGACATGGCAGCTCTGAGCTGTCGATCGGACAAAGCTGACTGAAGCCTGCTGAAAACGAGCACCGGGGTTTCCAAAGTCACAACAACATCTGATTGGTAATTGACCGCCGCAGGATCCATGGATGCGGTGAATGGAAGCTTCTCACGAGGTCTGCCTTTTGGATTCAGACGGATCGATGCCTTCCGCCCAACACGTGGGCAAACCACGGTTCAGGGCCGCTCGGATCTTTAATTTGGTGTCGAAAATGCACCCAAAATGGCATGGCCCAAAACCCGGTTTTGCACTACGGGAGATTACGGGTTCTGTTCGGGAGATTACGGGGTTTGTACGGGTTCCGTACGCTTTGCCCAAAAGCAGGTTGGGTGGAAGGATTCGGGTTACATCGGGAGGAGTTCGGGTTACATCGGGAAGGTTTCGGGTTCGGTCGGGAAGGTTTCGGGTTTTGGCCTGCCAACCTGCTTTCTTCCAGCGCTGATGTGCGTAAATCATGTAAAATCAGCTAAAAACGCTTCTAAAACGCAATATGTATATTAACAAAGCCAGAACCCGCTTTCCACACCAGCAGCTGGCTTGCACGAAATGACCTAGAAATAGCTAGGGAATTGCGTATGGAAGATAGGCCCGCCATTCCTGTGGAATCCGAAGACCCTTGCCTCCTCTAATATACTCATAGGCAGCCCCGAGCCTTGCAAACTCATACAGATCCGCCTCCGCACTTTCAGGGATACCCAAGAAACTGGTCAAAGCCCCTGGGACTTGGGTACCCGGTGTTGCCGGGCATCCTTTGGCGGAGGCCTTCAGCTCCTCAAAGATCTTCGCAATGGCCAGGCCGAACAGCACGGGATATTTCCTCAGATGCACACAGCATAGAACCACTTAATTGGATTACAGTAGGCCGGGTTTAATGACATCTACGTTGTTTATGACTGCCTGCGTGGGGATGATCTCTCGATCTAGATTAGCCAGCTACATAGATATAAACCCTCGACCGTATAAACCATCGACCGATCATCGATCATCGACATAATGTGTACATATATATATTATTTAGATCACGATATATATATATATATATATATATATATACATATATGTATATATGTATATATGTATATATGTATATGTATATATATATACACATATATATATATATATGTATATATATATATATACATATATGTGTATGTATGTGTATATATATATATACCACTAGTGTAGACATATATAGGTATTGTAGTCTAGCGTCTCTGTGGCTTTCAGCTCCTTCGTCCCTTGATAGCAAAGCTTTCCGGATTTGTTGGTGTAGGAACGACGGGTCTTGATTGTCCGGTCCGAGCTCTGCAGCCTTGCCCGAGTCACTTGCAGCTGGCCCCTGTCAAGACGTCGGATAGCAGGTGAGTTGGCATATGCAAACTGGCGCTTCAGGCTGCTTGCGTAGTAGGCACCCATGTACCATCCCACACGGCTCACCTCAGAGAAGTAGAGTCATGTTTTAATTTAATTCATGACAAATCGCTGGCTTGCCTGAATGTGACGCATGCGGGAACACACAAAGCAATCGATCTGCACCAAATGTATGCCTGACTGGGGAACTCTCGGCTCCCATTCCATCAACCTGGAACAAAGCAACCAACAGATGCCGCCAAGTGGGGTAGTACTCCATCAAGGATCCACTTGGCTGTTCCAGAATCCAGCAGCCACCGCAGGCGGTGATGAGGTAGCACAGCAGAGTGACCCTGTGGCCGGCATCTTAAGGGATTTAGGATTTAGGGCTTCGGAGGATTATTGGGGTCTGCCTGGGTTTATCGGGTTCCTCTTGGGGCTTCCGGGCAGGGTTTTGCAGCTTGCATGTGCATTGATCTGTTCTATGATGTTTTCTTGGTCTAGAAGGATGCATAGTTTAGCTATATAGTCTATATATATATATATACTCGATACAACGTGGCAGCTGGCTTGCCTGCTATGGAAATCACAACCAGGCTTCTTCAGGTTGCTGATGCACACGTAGAAGATTTCCCAGGCTAGGCTTCAGGTTTCTCGGAATGTATGGCACATATATTCAGCGCGTGTCTAGTTGACTGTGTGATGTTGCTCCCACCGGTCCTTTCCAGCATGCAGTTGCCTTCTGCCACAGACGGCTTCTCCGAGAAACCGATGCTCGCTGAAGCTGATCTCCCCGAACACCCAACGTTGAGCCCGCACCAAGACGAGCATTTGAGGCCGAACCAAACGGCAAAGTTCTGGACCCGGCACTTCAGTATGAAGACAATCGCGAGACTTGGTTGCAGAGACGGATAGATAAGGATACATGAACATGCAGTAGAGGAGAGAGAGAGAGAGAGAGAGAGAGAGAGAGAGAGAGAGAGAGAGAGAGAGAGAGAGAGAGAGAGAGAGAGAGAGAGAGAGAGAGAGAGAGAGAGAGAGAGAGAGAGAGAGAGAGAGAGAGAGAGAGAGAGAGAGAGAGAGAGAGAGAGAGAGAGAGAGAGAGAGAGAGAGAGAGAGAGAGAGAGAGAGAGAGAGAGAGAGAGAGAGAGAGAGAGAGGAGAGAGAGAGAGAGAGAGAGAGAGAGAGAGAGAGAGAGAGAGAGAGAGAGAGAGAGAGAGAGAGAGAGGAGAGGAGGGGAGAGGAGAGAGAGAGAGAGAGAGAGGGAGAGAGAGAGAGGAGAGAAGGAGAGAGCGAGAGAGAGAGAGAGAGGAGAGCGAGAGAGAGGGAGAGGGAGAGGGAGAGAGAGGGCGAGAGAGAGAGAGAGAGAGAGAGAGAGAGAGAGAGAGAGGGGGAGAGGGAGGGGGAGAGAGAGCGAGAGAGAGAGGGAAAGAAAGGGAAAGAGAAGGAAAGTGAGGGACACGGGAGAAGGAGAGGGAGGGAGAGGAGAGAAGGAAGAGAGCGAGAGCGAAGCAAAGACAGAGAGAAAGAGCGGGAGAGAGAGAGAGAGAGCGAGAGAGAGAGAGAGAGAGAGAGTGTGTGTGTGTGTGTGTTCGAGGGAGGGGGAGAAAGGCAAGGAGTCAAGGACGGTTTCGGCTTCGGTTTCCCTCTCCTCCCTCTCTCCCCTCTGTGTCTCTCTGTCTCTCTCTCTCTCTCTCTCTCTCTCTCTCTCTCTCTCTCTCTCCCTGTCGCACCCTCTCTCTCTCTCTCTCTCGTATCTCTCTCTCTCTCTCTCTCTCTCTCTCTCTGTTTCTTCTTTCTTTCTGCCTCTACCGCATCTTCTCGCTCGATCTGCCATATAAGAGAACATGCCCGAACTCGCAACAATTACATCGTGCCTTCCCTTCCTGTCCTCACCTTCCCTTGGCCTTCGATGCTTTGCCTGCTCCTCCCCCTCCCTTCCCAGCCGGCTCTGCACAAGCATGCGCATTTGTGTGTCTGCATGTGCAGGTGTAAGTCTGCATGTGCACGTACATGCGTGACCAATGCGCGTGGGTGGACGTGTGGGCGTGCCTGCGGGGTGTGCATGCACTCGTGCATTACCTGTGTTCTTCTATGAGTTTGCATATTGTCACTTTGCACTGATATACATGCATGTCTCTTTGGGTGTATGCGTGTGCAGGTTGTCTCTGTGTCTCCCTTTTTTATTTGTGGCCTCTCACACACACACACACACTCTCTCTCTCTCTCTCTCTCTCTCTCTCTCTCTCTCTCTCTCTCTCTCTCTCTCCCTCCCTCCCTCTCTTTGTTGGTCTCACAATCACCAGAATCTCTGTGCAATCGATCTGTCGTGCTCGGACAGCAAGAACTGGATGTGCACACATCCATGGAACGAACAGATGGCTTCTAAACTTAAAAGCAAGCAACCAAAACCCAGAAGGCGTGGTGATGTCCTGGTAGTTGCTATGCTTTCCGGTGTCCTTCCCGTAGTTGAAATCGAACCTTGCCCCTTTAAACCCACGAAGCCGCACAGCTCGGGTGCCATTTGCATGGCCAGCGAAGAACTCCAGCCAGTCAAACTCCTGCCGCAACACAGCAACTAGATGCTTCCATGATCCCCACACACAGACACGTATAGATCGAACCCATCCACGAAAAGTCTTTGCCCGGCCTCACTGAGATCGTAGAGACCTTCAGTCCAGATCACCATGAGGACCAGCAGCACGAATCCCTGGGAGGGTTTGGGGCTTGATGCTTGTAAGGATTTAGGGGTTTATGGGTCTTTGTATATAGGGTCTATAAAGAATGTGTAGGAGTTGCCTAACAATCAAATCAGGCTTATCTGCACAGTTAGATGTAAATACCTCGTACGATCATATTTACAAACTCATGAAGCTATATAGCACCCTAAGTCTCTGCTAAAGCATTCTGAGTTCATGCAAGCAATATAAGCAGCTTTGTTGTTGAAGTTGTCGTCATTTTCTACCGGGCAGGGATTGGGCTTCGGAATTCGAGGCTATATTGAGGAAGTGTAAATTTACTGAGTTGAGACCGCGGGCTCACAGGGCTTGAGTAAGGCCGAGGCTTGCTTGGGGTTTGTGGAAGGAATGTTCGTGGACCCCGAGAACCTCCAGAAAGCACTCGTTGGTCTTGGGAAGCTACAAAATCAGTATTTGCTAGTCATCGCAATAGTATACCTGTATGTATATAGAGAGGGAGCGTCTGTACATGTATGTCGTTTCACACTACGGTAGCCACCGGCAGTAGGCTAAGCTACCACGAGCAGGAGCAGCAGCAGAAACAGGTCACGAGGAGGCACCAGATCATCAGCAGCAGCAGTTTTTAGACTACTGTATGGTGATGCAGCATACTACAGTACCAGTCTAGTATTGCGTGGACTACTAGCACGGTAGTGGTTCTAGTAGCGGGTGGTACACAAGTCGTCGTGATACTTATTCGGCGTACGAAACAACTAGCAGCTTTATGATCTCATATATATTATATATATGCAAGTTACGGAGCTGTGATCTGTTATTGTGAAGACAGCCAGCCATCTAGGCGACGAGTCCCAAGCCAGGCACAGAAGCCACAGGAGCCGATTCCCAAAGTACCCAACCCCAGGCTGCAACCAGACCAACTGATTCGCTCAACCCATATAGGCCAAGTTAAGCTTCACAACAATCAAATTGGCCCTAGCACCCAAATTAACCCACAACCTGGACCTATAGACCCTGAGCCCCTACGTAGCTGGGAGCCCCGGCCTAGCTAGATTTAAAGCCCCTATAGAAACCCCGCAGCAAACGCTATAAAGCCTCAAGCCCCAGAGCTCGAAACCCCTAAACCCCTCAGACTCCTAAACCCATAAACCCCCAAACCTGCGTTCTAAACCCCTGCGAAGCATCAACTGCTCTTATTCTGCAATGTTCCATATTGCCGAAATGCACGGGGTGCGCCCAGCACGGCCAGGTTGTGCACGAGCAGATCGACGGAGATCATTATGTCGAAGGATTGCCAGAGATTTCGTGGGTTCGGGGGCTCAGTGCTAGATGACACTACGGGATCAACTTGAAGTCACAGGCTTCAGTTCACATGAGGCTTCAGTGTCGTTTGTTTCAGCACAGGATGTCGGAGCCTGAAACTTCCGACAGCAGTGTTCACATGATACAGCAAACACAGCTGTGATCGACATGATGCAGCATTGCTGAACTCGTGCACAATTACACTGCTGTCTTCGACGGCAATAGCAAACATGTCTGGTACCAAACATGCCTCGCACACGGTTCAGCCTGTGCTTCCGCTGCTTGCTTCGTCGAGAGTGTGTCGTCCTTCGAGTCGTGCGCCGTCTGCGGCCCATGATGACCTGGGCCGAAGAGATCGTTTCTAGATCTATGCGGGATTAATACATTCAGAGATATCTGGCTGATGGTGAATGCATTGAGTACGTGGACTTCTAGCAGCAACGTCGACTGTTCTTGTCAGTGCACACAAACACGAATCCGCAGGTTTTGCAACGATGCCTGTGACCCCGGCATGCTCCAAGACTGCAGTCTGATAATGAATCCACCGTTTCGGTGAAAAGCGATGATGCAACTCTTATCGCTGCACCACCGAGCATCTGCGAAGTGATGCTGCATCGTCCACCATCACGGCAAAACTTTACACAGCTATATTGGGCCAGTCGTACATATGCCTTGCATGGTTAACATCTTCAGTGCCGTTGAATGGCGGATGCCACAAAACTCGGAGGCGAGCACAGCGCTACTATTCATCCTACAGCAATGCACAACCCTGGCATGAGCTACGCACAGCTACCAAGAATGTCATGCCCCGGCATTCGGCCATGCTGGCATGTCAAGGATCCATGTGCCGAAATTGATGTAGTCTGATTTCACTGGAATCGCCTACAGCCCTTCATGCTCCAGGTTATCGAAAGTAACACGGCCGGCTGTCTTCCAATAGTCGATGACCGGCAGGATCGCCTCGCTTTCCGGGTCCACGATCTCCTCCTGCTGGAGGTGCTGTACCTGGGAATCAGGTGTTTTTTGATGAATTCATACGGGGCCTGTTGGGATACTTTCGTAGAAGTGACAGAAGCTCGACAGTGGTATGTTTACATGCATAGGTGAACTCTATTTAGTCTCAATGCAACCAAACTGCAACGGAACAGGCACAGGAAATCGCAACAGCTGTTGCTAGGCGTGTCTTGCCAAAGCCAAACGTCACGAGATCGGTTTGCTTCTTCTGACCAGACTCATCCGTGAATCTCAGTGTCACACCGCACTTAGCCGTTGTCCAGTAGATGTTGCACCGGTATCCAAACGAATTGTCGGGGAGGAAGGGCTTGACAGACAGCTTGAAATCATCGAGAGACCCTGTGAGATTTGACTCCCGAACCCAATCGGAAATCCACTCCACATCGCGCTCCTCAACATCGTAAGCCTCCACTGACGATGCCCTGGGTCGACGGCCGCCCTTCTTGCTAGCCTTTGCAACGCCTTTCGGGGAAGCCTTTGGGGAAGCTTCTGCTTTGGACTTCGACTTGGATTTTGCTTTGGCCTTCGCCTTTGCAGCACCTTTCGGGGAAGCCTTCGGGGAAGCCTTCGGGGAAGCTTTTGCTTTGGACTTCGCCTTTGCTTTCGGCTTCGGGGTCGGGGCGGCACGCTCTTCCAACTCCTCGGGCTCAGCCTCCGGGGTCTTGCCTCTGACCCTGCATTTGGTCTTGACCTTCTTAGCAGCCTTAGCAGCATCATCATGATCCTCAGGTGTCTGGACACTAATGTAGCCATCACCCTTCTCGAGCTTCACATAATTGTTCATCTCATCATCCCAAACCCAGTGGTCTGCTCGTGACCACCAGGCCTCAGCATCACCGTCGGGCATCGGATCCCCACTGCCGCAAGCCACGGATGTCGAGGCCCGCTTGCTTCGGCGCAATTTACACAGCCCTGACTTCTTGCGCTTAACCTTCTCCTTGGGAGCTGGCTTCTTGGCCTTGGCCAGCTTGTTCACGTCCTTCTTGCGTTTGCGCAGGCCAAGCTGAGAAAGCACCTGCCGAGATACAGAGGCGAGAATCGAGTTCAGATTAATGTGGGGCTGAACATAAATCCTATTGCAGCTCGGTTGTGAAGTCCATCACTGGCATGACTACAGAGCCATATCAAGATGAGCAATGATGGGAATGGCTGTCAAACTGTTCACAAAAGCCGAACTCATACCCTGCATAGAAGAGCATACCAGAGCTAGTCAATGATAGATCAGCAACATATTGCATGCATGGGTGCAACATGCCTCCTTCGACTCATCCGGAATGGGCTCATCATCATGGAGAGGATCCATCGGCTGGGGTGTTTCAGCACTCGGCTCGGGTGCTTCAGCGATTGGCTCGGGTGCTTCAGCAGGCAGCTCGGCTGCTTTAGCAATCGGCTCGGGTGCTTCAGCAGGCAGCTGGGTTGCTTCAGCAATCGGCTCGGTTTCTGCAGCAAACAACAGTCGTGTTGGGGTTGCATGAGCAGCCGCACCGTGCTGATACTGATCACGAAGGAAATCAGCTGGCAAGCTTTTGTCGATGGCCAGGTCACAAGGAACAGCATGCTCAGTTGGGGTAGGGCAATCAAAGATGTCCGTCACTTGGGTCTCGTCAGAGTCCAGGGATCCTGGGATATGGTTTGCAACAGGACACCCACCAACTCTAAATGTGGAATTCTAATTGAAGCCAAAGGCTGTGACACTGTGCGACACTGACAATTATTCGATAAGTCACTTGTCACCACAGGAGTGGCCACAGGAGGAGCCGGAGAGCTCACAGCAGCTGGGGGCGCAGAGGCCCGCATCTTTGCATTCCGAAGCCTTACATACAACCGGTAATCGCAAATGGATCGAACAATAAACTAATTCCTGATGTTGCAGAAGTGCTTTCACTCGTATTGAATTGTTCACATTCGCAAACACCGAGCAATCGTAAAATGCAGAAGATCGAGCTAAGAAGCGTCTGCAAGCTCAACTGTGCCTGCAAAATCCTTTGCTTAAGCAACAGCTGTCGTCGGCGATTCTCCGCCTCATCCGGGGCAAGGGTTTTGTCCTCGTCCGGAGTCGGCCCGGAAGGAGATCCTGAATAGCATGCAGCATGGAAACCGAATACCAAACCAATCATTGCCACATCAGGGTTTTGAAGCAGAATTTGCAAACATCGTGTGCTGATCAAAACGAATCCCACTCAATCAATATTATCCTGCATGCAACCGGGATGCTGGTCGAAGCTCGTGGGGGAGGCGTCACGGGTGGGCTTGCGGCTGCAGGACTCACTGGGAGTGGCACCGAATCTGATGCATTAGCAGGTCGACTGGGGGTCACCGCTGGGGCACTGATCGGAGCTGGACCCGTCTCTGCACCCGCTGGGGCACTGATCGGAGCTGGACACGTCTCTGCACCCGCTGGGGCACTGATCGGAGCTGGACACGTCTCTGCACCCGCTGGGGCACTGATCGGAGCTGGACCCGTCTCTGCAACCACTGGGGCCGGCAGTGGAGCCGCTTCTACACTAGCATCACTAGTAGGTGGATTGGGTGCCACCGTTGGGGGAGTCATCGAAGCTGTGCTCGTCGGCGTCGTTGTAGCCGTAGCTGCCGGATTTGATGCTGCACTTGGTCTGGGGTCAGGGTTTTCTGGATCACTTGTTGCACCAGCATCATCATCAGGCGACTCCTCGATGTACAATGAATGCATGCTGCAAACACATGTATATTCCCCAGACGTGCAACTCTCTATATGTGTGATGCATGCATGCATGAATGTCCTCGGCTGCAGGCTGACGGCGCGCGTCGACAAGCTCCTGCTGAGCACCGGGTCGGTACGATCTTAGGCTAAACCCTGGCAAGCCCCATATAAATCTTATAAAAAGCTTCAAGAACTCGACTCTAGATAGCTACGAATTGACACACAGCTAGAGTGACACACACACACACACACACACAAGTCAAGCTGTGAGCACCGACGAAGACACTGAAGATGAACCTGGCTCAGAAAAAAATCCGGTGCCCGAGCCTGCAAATCCGGGTTCAGGATGAGGCACATATCCTGGAAATCCGGATCCTGGGATGTGGAAGCTTATAAGGGCCCAGCTTTGAAGCTAGTACAGCCGGTTCTAATGTACATACGAATGCATACGATACATGGCAAAAAACTGAATCCAGCCGGGAAGCTAAGGAAACCTCGTGTCGCTGGGCTTTCCGCTTGATGAAAGTAAGAAGTTTGCGCAATTCCCATGCCATATCATCAATATGCGACTCCGAAAACTCTGTCTGATTCATCATAAGCAAATTTTCGATCTCTTCTCTCAGAAGCTCCACCTCTGGGCGCTTGTGTTCACAGGCCACAGAGCGAAGCAATAGAGGAACCATGACATCCCGATTTGCCTTGCATCTGTTGATCGAGTATTCGGACATTGTACCATCAAGCAAAGGTTTCCCGGAGCGCAGACGGATTCGGATGGCCTCAATCGAATCCCACTCATCTCTCAAGCCTTCCGCATCGAACTTGGGTCCCGCCATGACCCCAAACTCGAGGAAATCACAAAACGAGCCCTGAAGCCAAAAGGAGCTACGATTGTTGCGCATGCGATATGCAGCTATGAAAATTCAGATCACTCGTGAGCGGCAGGATTCAAAGCCTTCCAAGGCCCAGGCATCCCAGCTTCAGCAGGCCCTCGCCCACATTCTACCACAAAGGCTCCTCTCGAGCCTGGTTGTGTGCCTTCGAATTCCGGCTACAACCCTCAATCGACCCAGCAGCAATGGAAGAAAGCAGGCTCCAGGATAAAACCAGGTTTTATGCAGAAGAACCAGGTACTTTCCTCAAGTTGGTCAATAACCCGGTACCTGACAATCAACCCGCTAGCCGTAGGTAAGGGCAAGGGGCCAGCGGATGGCCCCGCTACGGCCGAAGAGCCCGCTACTGGCGACTACTTGCCAGAGACCCTCCGCGGCCTGCGGAAGGCGCTACGGTTTCGACCGTCGCAGTGCGCCGACGCGCTGCATCGCTATTTGGACAAGCCCCTGCTACAGGAGTTGGTCGCTATATGTCTCACGAAGCAATCGAGACAGGAGCCCCCACCCAGGAAGTGGCTAGGGGCCGGGCTCCGCCAACACAGCCCCGCTAACATGATGGAGCGGCGCGTTCTGTCATCGCTAGCCTGGATGCTGCTATGTCTGCGGGCTTGACGCAGAAGTTCGCCGCTACAGAGCCCGCGGCGGCAGCAGCCAAGGCCCAGCTAGACACTCTCGCCGCAGCCAACGCGGCCGCCAGCGCTGCAAAGGCTGCCCGCAAGGAGGCGGAGGCCATAGCCGCTAGGTCAGCGGCCGCGCTAGAGCAGAAAAAGAAGGAAGCCGCAGAGCGGCTCGCTAAGGAGGAAGAGGCTGCGGAGCTGGAGTTCCAGCAGGCGGTGGCCGCTAGCAAAGCCTCCCTGCAGGCCTCAGAGGAGGCCGCTAACAGGGACACGACGGCTGGGCTCCGGGCGGAGGCCTGGCCCTGCCCTTTAGCGCGACACTCACCGGTGTCCCCTTAGCGGCACGGGATAGCGCGCTCCTGCTGGAGCTCCCGGCGTAGCAGCTCCCTCCACGTATAGTCGAATCATAGCGGCCGGCGGGCCCTTGCCCTTGCCCTTCTCGCCCCGGCCTCTGCTTGGGCTAGCGGCCCGAGGGAACCAGGGGCTAGCGGACGGGGCCCTCGGCCCCATCTCCATGAACCTCCTAGCCTTGGGCGGCGTGGGGTCCTCGGTAGCAGCTGCAGTGGTGGCAGCCGGGGCCACAGAGCGGCGCGGCAGCGGCAGCAGGCGGCGGATCGGCGCTGCCCCTACGCCTTCCCAAAGGGAAGAGCTACCTTGAGCTATCGTGGTCGAGCATCGACCGCGAGCTATGGCCTTTGGGCTCGTGGGATCGCCGCTACGACTTGGGGGCCCAACCCCCGCTATGGCAAAGGCGAGGACAACGTGCTATTGAAGAACGCTATCCACCATGGACAGCATCTCTACACGCTAGGCAGGGAGGACGCCGCACTGATGTGCCGCTACGTCCACCCGCCCGCTAACACCCGCCAGGGGGAGCGAGCTGCTGAGCTACTGTCTACTGCCCAGCTGCTACACCCAGTACCAGCCTGACCGCTGCCGCTACTCCCTGGGCCACTGGGACGCTAACGCCTGTATCTTCAGGTGCGCTACGACCTGCGAGGTCTGTGGGCTAAGAGCCTGTAACAGGCGTATGTGGTTTAAGTGTGATGACCACGCTAGTCACTGTTGTGACGGGTGTAAGAAGGTGAGCCGCGGGGAGGACTGGGGCGGCCGCTAAACGCAGGCCCCGGCCTCGCTACAGGCCCCGGCCTCGCTATTTCCACCCGCTACTTTTGGAGCACTCGGCTACTTTTGCAGCGCCCTCTGCTGCCGACCGCTAGCCGCAGCCGCTAGCCGCAGCAAAAGTCAGGGTGTGCGGCTGCCTGTGTGCACGCTACAGTCCACGCTACACACATGTCGGCAGCCAGAAAGAAGGGAAGAGCTAGAGCGAGAGAGTGTCAGGAGTACCGGGGGGGGCCCTACAAGGACGCTAGTGTGAAGGAGCGGCACTTTACCACGCCGCTAGCCCTCCATGCTATAAGCGGCCACAACCCTGGACTTGGACAGAGGAGAGGCCCGCTAAGACCCCCATGCAAAGGGGAAGGGCAAAGGCAAAGACGCCCCCCCAAGGGTGGCAAGGCTAAGAAGCGTTTGGGTGCCGATCGCACCCCCCAGGGGAAGCCTATCTGCTTCCGCTACAACGCTAAGGGCTGCAAGAATGGCAGCAAGTGCCACTTCGAGCACGTCTGCTCGCTATGCTTCGGAAAGCACCCCGCTACGCAGTGCCCCACCAGGAAGCAGACGGAGGCCGCTAAGGAGGACAAGCCCTCCAACTGACCCGCTATTGCGGCCGCGCGCTCAGTGCCTGTGACCCCCCTGAGCGGGGATGCTACGCCGACCCCGGCCGGTGGCCGCTACGCCTGCAAAGCCGCTACGGGTGCTCTACCTTTTCTCTGGTACCTCGCGCCGGCTAGATGTGGCGCAGTGTTTGCACCAGCTAGCTGCGGAGCTTGGACGAGATGTCCGGGTCGAGTGCGTCGACCTTCTGCGGCACGCTAAATACGACCTTAGCCAGCCCAAAATCTGGCAAAGCTACCTGGACCGGATAGCTAACAGGGAGTTCGACGCAGTGGTGCTTTCTCCGCCGTGCGCTAGCTTCTCCAGGGCGCCCTGGGCTAATTTTCAGGGGCCCCGCCCCGGACGAAGCTGTGAATTTCCCCGAGGTCTGGAGACGCTAACACCTGCTGAGAGAGATCGCGCTATACTGGGCAACATTTTTGCGGATTTCAGCTTCGAGGTCGCTAACCTCGTGGCCGAGGGTGCAGCTACTTTTCTGGCGATGGAGCAGCCGGAAGACCTTGGGGCCCTCGCTAAGGGTCCGCACCAAGGGACACGGCCGGCCTCGATGTGGCAGTGGCCGCCGCGAGCCGACCTTCTGCAAAAGGGGCTACGGACCGTGGCCTTCCACCAGGCTAGTTTTGGTACACCATACGCTAAGCCGACTCGGCTGCTGCTAAAGTGCTCTTCTGCTATGCCCGACTTTGTGCACGAAGGCCTGCCGTGCTATGACCAAAAGGGCCGCTACACAGGACCGCTGCCTTCTGCTGCTACTCTGGGACGCATGTTCAAGCGCACCGCTAAGGGCCCCTTCAAGACCTCAGGCTCCGAAAAGTGGCCCGCTAGAATGTGCCAGTCACTGGCTACCCTGATTCTGGACTCCTGCCAGCACCCTGCTACCGCTGCCCAGGGGGAGGGGGGTGGCGCTAGGCCGGAGTGCCCCTGTCAAAAAAGGTAGGTGGCAACAAGAGCTACCACGATGGAGGGGGTCTCTGCTCCCCAGGATGTTGGCCCCACGCTACCCGCAGCTACGCCGAGGGCCCCAATTGGGACTGGCTACGGGAGAAGATGATGGAGGTGATCCTCGCTAAGGTGGGTTCGGAGGCGGAGCTAGAGAAGGAAGCCTTCCGCATGGCTGCCGGTGGGGCTAAGGGCTGCGCCCTGGCGAGCTCCGAAGAACTTCAGGAGCAGCTACGCCTGGTCTGGAAAGAGTGGTTGGAAGCTAACGACCTGGGAGACCCGGAGCTGCTAAAGGTGGCCCCGGGGCAACCGCTATACCTCCGCCTCATCAGAGCGCTATTGACCGCGGCCGGAGATCCCGACCGTGACTTCCTCCTCCAGGCCGAGGAAGGGCTACCGGTGGGGGTGAGAGACCCGCTACCCCGTACTCCCCACGTCTTTGAGGAGCAGCTAAAGTGGCCCTTGTAGCCTGGGTACCGAACTACTCTTCGGTGGAGGAATACCGTGAGTTCGCTAGGAAAAAGTTCGGGGAGGACGTGGCGGAGGGTCTCATGGCCAAGATGACGCTAGGCGAGTTCAAAGCCCGCTATGGTGAGCATCGAGCCATCGCCGCGCTAGCCGTCATCGTCGAGGACGAAAGAAGAGGATGATCCACGACGCTACCCACGGGGTCCGGGTCAACCACCGCATCAAGTGCCGGGACAAGATCCGGGCCCCAGGAGCTAGGGAAAAGAAGCAGCTACTCCGTGAGCACATCGAGGCTAACGAGGTGGCCTTCTCCGTGGTGGGCGACATCGCTAAAGCCCACCGACGCTACAAGCATGCCGAAGGAGAGCATGGCTACCTGGGATGTCAGATCGACACCGAGGAAGCTATACCGGGGGACCCCGACTCCGACAGCCAGACGGTCTACGTGAATCTGGTGGGGACTTTCGGGCTATCATGTGCGAGCTGGTGGTGGAGCCGTATAGCGGCGTGTGGGCTCCGGCTCACGTACCACCTGCTAGGGCCATCGTTCCCGCTAGACATGCTACTCTATGCCGACGACCTCGAGTCCTTGGGCCGAGGGGCTAGAGGACGCATCCCGCTAAGCTACCTCTTCCTCGCTAGTCTTGGGTACCCTTTCAAGTGGGCCAAGACGAGGGGGGGATTTCGGGTGGAGTGGCTAGGCATGGAAACGGAGTATTCCACGTGGAGGCTAGGCTTGTCCCAGAAGAGGACCGACTGGCTAGTGGAATGGGTCCGGGAAGGGAAGTGTGAAGCCCAGGGCGCCTGGGTTTCGCCTCCATGGCGCTAGACTGGGAGCGCCCGCTGCACGCCTGGTCCTCGGCTATCCAGGGGAAGCTGGGACGCTTGGAAGCTGGGGGCCGTCTTCAGAAGCCAGCTTCGCTACTGGACGGGGCAGCTCCGCTTTCCTTCTACACCGACGCTAAGGCCGAGAACGGACGTGCCTGGATCGGGGGCTTCCTTGAGCTAGTGGACGGCTGCCACGGTCCCTGGTTCTCGCTAGAAGTAAAGAAGGACTGGGCCGCCTGGGCCTTCGCTAAGGGGGACCCAAACAAGGTCATAGCCGCTCTGGAGCTACTGGCTACTTTGGTCGGTGTGAAGCTCTGGGTCCCGGAAGGGGACGCTAAGAAGACCTCCAAGGTGGCCATCCGTGGCTACACTGACAACCAGTCCAACGAGGCGCTACTGAAGAAAGCTATGACGACGAAGTTCCCATCGACCCTAGTGTTGATGGAGCTAGCAGCTAGCAGAGGAACACTCCGCTAAGAACTGTGAGCTTCAGCTACAGTGGATCCGCAGGGATCTGAACCAGCTAGCGGACGATCTCACGAACGAGAACTTCGCTAGTTTCTCCCCGGACTTCAGGGTGGACCTGGAGGGGGAGAAGCTAGAGTGGCGTGTGCTGGGCCGTCTCCTCGAACACTCGGCTAGCTACTTCCAAGAGCTAGGAGTGAGGAAGAGGACCGGAGAGCCTAAGGCTCCGAGGTTCGCTAAGAAGGCCCGTAAGCTAGGTCCCTGGTAGCCCTACGGCTGCGCGAGGAGATTAGCTAGCCGAAGGCTAGAGTTCTTCTCCGGGCTAACGCGGGACTTCGCCACAACGCGAAAAAGAGAAGTTCGTGTTGTCCGTGCTACTGCGTGAAGCCGGTTAGCCAAAGCTAGGCTTGCTACGTACTCCCCGGAGGTGTAGAGGGAGGTGGCGGGAGGATACGCTAGCTAGTGTACGCACTCGTGCCGAGGCACGAGGTACGACAGTGTATGCTAGCGCTAGTATCCCTGTGGGAAACATCGAAGGTGTTTCGCTAGAAAACGTCGAAGGGGTTTTCCTCTGAAGCTAAACAGAACGAAGCCTGTCTGTTTGCTAGAGTGACTGCACATGGCCGGTGAAGCATGCGCTACTCCGTGGCCATTGTGCTGAAAGGCCCCCAGCTACTGGGGGGCAATTTTCGAGTGCCCACCCAACCCACCCTGGAGATTAGCTAGCCGAAGGCTAGAGTTCTTCTCCGGGCTAACGCGGGACTTCGCCACAACGCGAAAAAGAGAAGTTCGTGTTGTCCGTGCTACTGCGTGAAGCCGGTTAGCCAAAGCTAGGCTTGCTACGTACTCCCCGGAGGTGTAGAGGGAGGTGGCGGGAGGATACGCTAGCTAGTGTACCATAATGAGCTATAATAGCATGGGTTCTGCGATCCTAAAGTCTTGAATGTTATGGCCTTATGGCAGCGTGTGCAACTGCAAATGCTTGCTGGATCCTCGGCCTACATACACCAGTGTTGCTATACATAATGCTTTGCTGCTTGTGACGATGGGCCACGACCTTGTTGCGGATCGTCACAGTCGTAGGGCGGGACATTGCAGATTGGATAGACTCTAATTGTAGCAAAGGCTCCTGAGAAATCAGAAACCCCAGATCCGTTTCAAAGCAAAAAAGTACAGAAAACTCGCTGAAAATTCCAAGGCGAATAGAACTGCAGTGAACCTTTCTGGAGAAATCCAGGGGGAGTAGCAACTGCAACAAAAGACGTGGGCTGGTCTCAGCGATGGGCGAGGGGCGAAGGGTTCCGGTTGTACAGAAATTCGTGGCTTCCGAGGTCGTTTGTACACTACATATACGACTATACGATCAGGGAGAAGTGAAATTTGGAAACTCCACATGCCAGCGGTTGACATGTTCTTCCTTCTCAGGCGCTGATGTCCCACCAGCAGCAGCTGAGCCTGAACCTGGAGTTGGAGACCAGTCTGAGGCATCTGCTTGGGCACTCGAAAATGCGAGAAGACGGAACTCTGCAAAGGCTTATGCGGAGTCCAAGCCTTTCGACCGGCTTGGGGTTTTTGTCGTGTTTTGGCGCCCATGCACCAGCTTATGGCCCGGTTTCTTACTATCTCTGGAAGCAATTGGAGGAAGAAGCAGAAAGTGCTTGCTGCCCAAGGCAAGGCTAGGTCCTGGCCAGTCCTCCAGGCTGCCCGGCTACTGCTTGCTTGAGATCGTTGCTGGAGATCATGCTGGAGCCGGCTCTTGGTGCCAGAGGCATTGTCACAGGCCACACCCGAGCTCTGAAGTTCCTCATGACCTCTGCAGGGATGTGTGGGGTACATGTCTATTTGAGATTGCCCCGACAAAGCTTCCCTTACCAGCTGTTCAGCTTGTTGGACGACGCATCTGAAGCTGCAGTGCAACGCATCAAGGATTTTCCTGTATGCTTGCGTGATGAATTCACAAGCTACTTCATCGAAAAGGATTATATTGGAACCGAGACTGGGCTCGCGATGCTGGAAGCGGTTGCCGATATCTTGTTTGTCGACGTGGCAGGATAGAATCAGGCTGCCAGAGAATTCGCTTCTCTCCGCTCCAGAGGCTGGGTGCCAACTCTGGAAACCCTGGCCAGCCGGTTTGTGTTGCAGGAACGGCAACGAAGCTTGGGCAAGACTGGGATTCTTGGTTTTTCTTCCTCAAAGCGGAAGGCAGACAGGCCAGACAGGCCGAAAAGAAAAAACCCTTGGAGGAGGCGGAGCCTGGCGAGCCTTCAACAGCCATTACTTGTGTGGCCGGAAGCTGACTGCTGCATTGGCAACTGAAATGAGCCGGGTCTATCGAAGTCTTTCTGAAGCCGAAATGCAGAAGTATATCGAGGCTGGGCGTGGGGCCTGTCTGGCCCGCAGGCAAGGCTTTCCATCCTTTCCCAAGAGTGCCCGTCAGCGAGTGAACCGGCCGGGCATGGCTGTGCATGGGCATGAGCAGCCTGGCGAGGAAAGACTGGATGGGGCGGGTATTGTTGCTGCAGACATTGAGCGAGCCGATTTCGCTGTGGTCCCCTATGCTGGGGACACCTTAGCTGAAAGGTATTTCGATTTCAAGTTAGCCTTGAAGGAAGAGATGCGAAAGCAGCAGGCACTCGACCCGGCCCAGCTCTCTGAGGAGGAAGTCCAAATCCTGAAAGATTTTGAGCACGGCAGCAAGCATTTGGACAAGAGAGATGAATGGGCAGTTGCTCTCCGCTTTGCAAGCTTCTCCAGCCACTCGGCCCAGAATGGCTTCCTACAGCTGGTGTCCTCCTGCAGAGCAGGTTGCAGAGGCCTGTGTGAGAGGGACACATTGAGTTCGAAGTTTGAGCAGCTTCCTACTTCGCATTTTTGTGTTGGTTGTTTTGGTTAAGTCTGAGTCTAAGTCTAAGTCTAATCATCTTCTTCCTTTTCCTGCTCATCGGCACAAGACTTACAAGAGCTTCCATGTTTCTGGTTTTCAGATCAATCGGCACCGACTCTGGCGCAGTAATAGTTGTTTCATGATCCGAATGTAAGCTAAGTCAATAAGTCACTTCATCTATCTCTTCAGCCCTAGAGCCTGGGCCCATGTCCTGCAGATGTATCTATTGATCCCCAAGGTTCGTGTTGATTTTAGAGATCCGCAATCCCAAACCTTTAAACTCTAATCCGCCATGAACCCGGGTAGCCCTTAGAGACTATAGAGGCTGCAACTTGGCCATCAGGAGTCGGGGGTGGAAACAACAGGCTGTAGTGCAGTTTTCGAAAGTCAGACTTGCTTTTGTGGCCTCGGTTTCGGAGCTTTAAGTAACTTGACAAAATCAGCTGTAGTGCTGCAACAGACACATGAACCTGTGCCAGAAAATGGGGTCGGGCATCGGGTATATGGTTGACCTCTGGGTCGACGATGCGCATGATGCTCATGCACTGGCGCTTTGGAATACTTTGGAATTGCAGTCTCGGATGGTGCTGGTGTGAGCAGCAGAAGCACGTTTACTTTCAAACTTGATAACCTGCAAGCTTGACGACCTTGAAACCCCCCTATTGTTTTGATGTCGAGTAGCAAGCCGAAAATTTAGAGCAGAGCTCACTAATTGAACTTGTAGTTGCACGTGAATCTAAAGTCGAGAGTCTGGAATAGAGTCTATATAACTCTAGTTACTCTAGTTCCCAGACAACTCGGGCCACCTCGGGCCCAGCCGAGATCATTTCCCCAATTGCCAGGAGATCCTTCGTGATGAAACTGTTCGTGTTCGCAGAGCCTACAGTGTCAGCTCCATTCTTCAATCTTCTTTGTCTCGGCGATGCCGGATCCATTTCCACAGTGAGCAACCACGTATTGTGAAAGCAGATGGTGTGTTCAGGCCATCCCAGTGCCATGCATTTGGAGTCTGTGTGTGTTCAGAGCCAGATCCACTGCATTTCTGTCGGAAAATCCAGCAGTGGATGAAGCGTGCATTCGCTTGCGATGGCGTTGTCTCGGGCGACAGCGAAACTGCACGCGCGCACACGCACGCGTGCATGAAGCGAACTGTTTTTCACACTCACTTATTTTACATGTCTTCTTGAATTTCGCTTTTCGAACGAAGAAAACTAAACTTTTCACGGCAAAGTTTTGGCTGCAGGCTGTTTTCTTCGCAAGCATTTTTCGTGAGCCTTGAGATTCGACGTGAGTGCGTTCCTAAGGGGGGCGCCACTCCGTCACATGTGACGTGTAAAGGTTCACTAAAGGCTTTGCTGCTTTGAGTTCCGTAGCTGGGGCGAGGCTCTTCATGGACGACAGCGGCGCCTCTTCTGCGCCCTTGCTTTCCGATGCGGTAGACTCTCATGCCACGCCGTGTCAACGCTCCCGTCTACAGGGGAACTGGGAGAGTGACCTGCACACCCGTGCTGCTTCAGCACGGCTTCCTGCGCCACCCATTTCTGGGTATATCAGTGATATCTTCCCGGATTCCTCTGACGATGATGTTCGTGATACGGCCGGGCCCGTGGCTGGCGGCTCCGCTCTGACTGCTCGCACTCATATTTCCTCTGACAGTGACACCAACGACAACCGCCTGGCCGACTTGTATCCTGGACGTGTTGGTTTCTCCGGTGATGCTGTGCGGTGGGCTCGCTTGCGAGCACTCGAACAAGGCACCTTGTCTTCCTTCGCGATGGAGGATGTGACCGTTGAACCATCGACTTGCTTGACTCGTATGGCAGAATCGGCTGGCAGGGCCTTCGCAGCTGAAGCACGAATGATTTTGGTGCGCCGCATTTTGCGGCTTCACCCGGGGTTCGCACGTAGGTGTGCAAGCCGCTGGGCTCGGGCTCGCCGTCGCCTTCATGCTTGATTGGCCTATGAGGCGGGTGACTTGCTTCCCGCTTCAACCTACGGGCGCCGGCTCCGCGGCCCCATGTCTGTGCATTCGCTGCAGTTCCAAAGATCTTCTTGCAACTGCTGAGTCCTGCATCCGCTCAGCCGTCTATTGAGTGCCTTGTTTCTCTGCCTTGGCTGTGTTTGCACTGCACTTGCCTCGCCCATGCATTTTCAGCGGGGGTTTTTAGCGGCATAGGGGCTCGGGTCCCCTCTTCTGGCCGAGGTAGCTCCACCCAGGCACCTCTCTCGAGACGGTTGCCATCGCCTCGGCAAACTGGTGCCCAGGTCGAGTGCACCGATTGCAGCTTTGACCAGGTAGCTCACATCGGCCAGGCGGTCCGCTCCAAGGCCAGCGATCTGGTGCTGGTCTTGAGCTGGCCTTTGCATCCTCGCTCAGGTGGGGCGAGTCACGTCTGGAAGGTGTGCCTCTCAGGCTGTGGCTCTTAGCTTCGGGTTTGCCTCTCTTTCGTGAGAAGGCCCGGGAAGATCCGTGCATCCCAGCTTTCGCCTCAGCAAACTGGTGCTGTCTTCGCAAAGCTGGTCGATGATCTTCTTCTTCAGGTCTGGTGATGATCCGGTGAGCTTTTGGCACCGTCCTCAGCCGAACCCCGATGCAGACTGAAGCATACCCGGCTTCGGTCGAGGTCTGGGCCCGGCTGGATTGGGGCTGCCTCTCGTGGCGGCCTTGGATCGGCGGCAGGAGCCAACAGGGGCTAATGCTTGCCATCGGTCAGGTCACAGGTGGCTGGAACGGACGGCTCTAGCCGCGTCCTCGGGTTGATGGTGGAAGCTAGCTGGAGCTGAAGCCTTCCGCACTGGTCAGGTCTCGGGCTACTGGAGGCCCTGCATCTCGAGGCCGCCGAGCCTCATGAGGGGCTTCCGCAAGCGATGGTCGGAGCCCGTCCGGGATGGGGATGCGAGAGCGGAGGACGATGTTGCAGGGAACACAGGTCCGGAACAGGAATCGCCTTCTTTCGGAAATCGGCTTGCCGGGGCCGATTTTGAGGCCCATCTTGATTCGCTGTTAAGAGAGTGATCACGAGGGCCTTTCTCCGGATGAGGATCGGGACACAGCAAGGAGTTGGGCGCTCAAGGGGTCGGACACTTATGTGCCGCCATCGTCGAAGGCGGCCTCTGGGGCCGTAGCAGCCCCAGTTCTGGGTGTTGTGCATGTTGGTCAGCTTCACTCATCGCTCCGAGATCTCCCCTTGCCACATGGATGCCTTGGGACCGGCACCCGGCCATCGTGGGTTTTAAGGCCCTTGCCCCTAGGTCCTTCTGCCAACCTTACCCGGTTCCCGAGCCCCCTAGGCCTCTTGTGCCAATTGCTCCAGTGCCGACCGGTTATAGGATAAGGGAGCCGTCACAGGTTGACTTGAGGGCAGCGCGATGGCATGGGAAGGATAACCGGCACCTGGCCTTGAAGCGTTTTCACACACCATCCGCACAGGGGGAACCTTCGGATGCCACACCAGCCGGTATCGATGACCTGGACTGCGGAGACCAAACCGAAGCCCGCGAGCCCACTGATCCAAGGCTCTTCAAGGTTGGTGTCAGGTGGGACCCGCCGGAGTTTTTCCTCAAGGCAAAGCAAGTTCAGCATCCTTGCCAGCCCTCCAAGGCAATCTCACCTTCACTGAGCGATGCCATGCACGATGTTCTGACTCAGGACCCTGTGGCTCTCGCCAGGCGCCGGCTTCACGTGATTCAAACAATCAAGGAGATGAAGCGGGATCTTGAGCCTAAGGAGAAGGTTTTTAAGGCCTCTCTAGACCCTTTGGTTTCCAAGGTTCTGGCCCCTAAGAATCTGCTCCTCTGGAGGGCGCTCCTGCAGGCTGCTGAGTACGACGACCCTGGGGTTTAGGGTTTAGGGTTTAGGGGTGACATGGTCAGTCGGGGCACCTTAGTCGGTTCTTTAGGACCTGCTGCCGCCTTGCCTCAGGACCCTAGACCTTCTTTAATAACCCCCGAAGCTCTGGTGGCTTCCGCGCCCCTTCGAAGAAAGATCTTGCAGTCTCATCGCTCGGTCCCTTCCGCGGAGGAGGCAGAGGATCTCTTTGCTGGCACCCTCAAGGAAGTGCATCGGGGCGATCTCTCAGGACCGTACACGGAGGATGAAGTGACCGCCCATTTTGGCTCGGATGATTGGCTCTTGAATCCACGCTTCTGCATCTATCAGGGCGAAAACAGGAAGGTCCGTGTGATTGACGATGCCAAGATTTCCGGACTCAACTCGGCCTTTGAGAGATCCTTCGGGGTCGCCTTGATGGACGTAGACTGCTTAGCGGCCCTGCTGGTCTCGTTGGCTCAGGAGATCTCTTCTGGGCAAAGCAGAGGGGCCAAGCTGACTGAGGCTGCCATGGGTCAGTGGAAAGGTGGCACCCTCGATCTATCGAGAGCACACAAGCAATTGGCGATTGATGAGGCCAGCAGGCGCTTCTGCGTGCTTGGCTTCAAACGAGGATCTGAGTGGGTCTACTTCCGCTGTGACGTGCGTCGGTGTTCTCATTCCTGAGAGTCTCGCGATCGGTCCATTTCTTGATGGCTAAATACTTGTGCTGCCTCAACACGGCCTATTTCGACGACTACCCGATAGTCGAACCTGCCATTGGGGCCCCGGTCCTGCGTTCGGCGGTTCATGCTCTCTTGAACGCTCTGGGGTGGGCTTTTGACGCCGAGGGCGACAAGCGGCTCGAGCTTCAAGAGTCATTCGTGGCTCTTGGGATACAGGTCAACCTCGCTGATTTGCATCGGGGATCCTTTGTTCTTGCAAACAAGCCGGGCAGGATTTGCAAACTCCAGGCGATGTTTCAAGCTTGTGCCGACAAGGGTTGCATCACTTATGCTGAAGGGGCCGTCATCCAGGGCCATCTCGCATTCGCCACGGGTTTTTACGCTTCGAGGGGTCTTCGCTTCCTGTCAAAGGCCGTTTCTGCACTTGCTGCTAAGGATGCCAAAGGCGACCAGGTTCGGAGGCTGAGCAGCTTAGCACAGAAGCTCCTTGGGGACACCCCGCCTAGGCGTTTCGATCTCAGTGTGCACAGCCCCCCGTGGCTCATCTTCACGGATGGAGCTTACGAACAGGGCAGGGCAACTGCTGGTGTGGTGTGGTACGACCCCGACGGAGACCGGGCCCATACTGCCGAGATTGAGGTGCCGCAATCCTTGGTTGAGTTGCGGCAGCGCATGGCCGGAACGCAGATAATCTCTCAGGTCGAGGCCTGGGCTTTCTTGGTCGCCGCCAGAAGGTTTCTTGCGCCGAGCCTCCTGCAACGCCAAACCCTTGCTTGGATCGACAACGAGGCTGCCCGAATGACCTTGATCAAGGGCTCATCGGATTCCGCTTCCATGAGGGACACCACAAGGTTGCACCATCAGCTTGACTTGATGCACCCTCCTCTGATCTGGCTGGAGAGGGTGGCATCTCACTCGAACCCGGGTGACTGGCCGTCCAGGGGCCTTACAGGTGAGGCATGCAGGCAGCTGGGTGCCTCGCTATGCCACAGGATTTGCGATCCGCAGCTCGAAGGTGCTCTGCTTATGCTGGAAGCGGATCCCTTTGATTGTCTCGATGGGGTCTCGCTGTAGTGCCACTCAAGGGGGAAACCGCCGGTACTGCGATGCTCCCCGTCAGTCAAAACAGAGTGTCCGAGTGATTGCTCTTCCTTTCAATTTTCATATATATATATATATTATCTATATGAAAACATATTTGATTGCAAGCTTTCTTGAAGACATTTTCAGATTGAGGTGGAAACAGTTTCGTTTGAGACGCGTGCATTCGCTTGCGATGGCGTTGTCTCGGGCGACAGCGAAACTGCACGCGCGCACACGCACGCGTGCATGAAGCGAACTGTTTTTCACACTCATTTATTTTACATGTCTTCTTGAATTTCTTGCTTGTTTTTCGAACGAAGAAAACTAAACTTTTCACGGCAAAGTTTTGGCTGCAGGCTGTTTTCTTCGCCCACCCACCCACACCTTTGTCAACCGGTACTTAGGTGCGGCCATCCTGGGGCCTCGGGTGTTTCTCACCTCTGGTTTTCGCCTAGCCCGGCCGTCGAAACCGCCGGCACTGCGATGCTCCCCGTCAGTCAAAACAGAGTGTCCGAGTGATTGCTCTTCCTTTCAATTTTCATATATATATATATATATATCTATATGAAAACATATTTTTGATTGCAAGCTTTCTTGAAGACATTTTCAGATTGAGGTGGAAACAGTTTCGTTTGAGACACAAGTCTTCCACAAGGTGAACAAGATCGCGTGTGAAGCACGAAAGCTGCTCGAGTCCCAAATGGTGGTGCTGGAGTACCGTACGGTGGAGGCTGAGGAACCAGCCCCAGGAAGCCCTGCAGCTTCAGAGCAGGTGCTGTATGGGCATGTTGGCCATGTGAACTTCAGCACCTGGCACCATGTCCTGCTACGTTTGACAGCTGACATGCAGGAACTAGGATTGCCGTCTGAACTTTCTGAGTCGACCGGGGCACGGCAAGTCGGAGCGGTTCCGGCAGAGGCTGCAGGCAATGCACTCGGCGCTTTCAGCGATCTCCAGTTCTACAAGCAGCTGGACCTGAAACGTGCCTGGGAAGTCAGACCACATGTGATATCTGTGATGGACAACCACTGGCATTCCTTGGATTCGTCGGCCAGTCCTGTTCCTTTGCTCCCACTGGCTTTTGATTCTGATGCGAACATTGCGCAGTACTGCGCTCCTGGCTTGGGTCTGAAGCCGAAAAGGCTATGAGAAGCCAAGATGCCGAGGCCACACCAGCCTCCAAGCCGCCTGGCAAGCGTCTGCGAACCAAGACATCGGCTGCCGATGCCGTTGCATCTGCTTTGCCTGGCCCTCGTCCAGCTGACGCCGAAGCAGATGCAGCAAGAGACGAAGGTGATCTTGATGATGGCAGAGGAGTGGGCCCGGTGGACTTTAGTGAGCCGGCTGAGGATCAAGGTTTGGCTGCTTCAGAACCTGCAGGGGTGCTAGAGCTAGAGCCCGACAACCCGTACTTGGAGCCATTGCAGGATCTGCTGCTGGATCCAGACGGGGAACCTGTTGCTGCAGAGGTCGAAGAGCACTTAGAGAAGTCCTCCCTTGGATCTGTAGAGTCCGATATAGCAGCGTCAGAGCTGAGTTTGGGTGAGGCCCAAGCCGACTTGCCAGAAGATGGTAGCGATCAAGATCTGTTACTGGAGCTGGAACAGGAACTCCAGGCTGAAAAGGAAGTTCGGCACAGAGCCGATGCTGAAGATGTTGGCTTGGATCTGTTGCATCCTCCGGTTGGCCTGCCTGCAAGGGCTGCTCCTGGCCCCAGGGCTGAACCTTCTGATGAAGCAAGGGCCCCTGCCCAGCGGCCAAGAGTGGAAGCTGATAGGGAAGAGTTCCGGCTCGGGGATTATGGAGTCATTTGTTCATCTAAGGTCCCTCTTTCACTCACACGTCTCGCCAGGAAATCCGAACACCGATCTGCGCGGGCCCTCCAGCTCAAGGGGCGGGAGGGTCGTGGAGCTTGAGGCGAATCCGACAACAGGACAGGGTCCCGGCTACTTGGACAGGGGTCCTTAAAGCGAGGGCGCTAACACATCTTTCATCGAGCAGGGCTCGTTAACATTCTTTCCCTAGGCACGGGGTGTCTAGGAAGGGGTTCGTGGTCATCCGGCCAGTGTGGGTCTCTCCCGGCAGGGGGCTGATTCACACTGGTAGGCCCGTCGTCGAGAGCCGGTGGGTCTCCTTCACAGGAGGCGGGAGCCGCTCCTCCACAGCAGACGGCGACGCGAGCATGGGAGCGTCAGTCCCTGTCAGCAACCTCCCGTGGCAACAGATCCCGAAGTTTACGCCAGGAGTTACCCATGTGGACGAATACACGCGACGTTTGCAGTTCTTGAAGGAGCTGTGGCCCGTGGAGCACATCGCCCTTTTGGGCCCACGAGCTGCACTGAATGTGGAAGGGTCAGCATTTCAGAAGGTGACCCGCATGAGTCCAGACAAGTTGCGAAGTGAAGCCGGCATTAAGCTCTTGGTGGAGTCTTTGGGAGGCTCCTGGGGAAAGACTCCCCTTGAAGAAAAATATCACTTCTTTGAGCAGGCGATCTATCAAGTGATGCAGAAACCGGACGAGAGCAATGATTCTTACATTGCCAGGCACGATGCCTTCTTCGAGGAGCTGATTGCCCAGGGGATTACACTGCAGGAGATACGGGCCTATATGCTTTTGAGACAGTCCCAATTGAATTCAGAAGACAAGAAAAGGGTCGTGGTGGAGTCCAAGGGCAAGCTTACCTATGAGAACACCATCCGGGAGATCAGATTGCTGGGGTCCAGGTTCTTCACAGATTTTCAGAATCGCAATCAAGGACACTCATCAGGCAAAGCACTCGAGCGCAACAAGGTCTATGATATCCATGTGACCGAAGAAGAGGGCCTTGATGAGGCTTTCGTCGCGAGTGAGGAATTCGATGAAGACCAGATGCGCAGCAGATGATTGACGCAGGTGATGAAGACGCGGTGTATGTGGCCGAGTTCGAGGAGCAGATCATCGAGGCGGTTCAGGACAGCGAGCTGGCCCCAGTGTTCACCACGTACCAGGAAGCCCGACAGAGGTTGAAAGACAAGGCGCGCAGCCGCGGCTTCTTCCCGATCAAGGGCAAAGGACGTGGAAAGCGAAGAAAGGAAAGATCTCGAACCCAGAGGACCGCCGATTGAAAAAAATCAAGCGCGATTGAAAATTCTCAGCGTTTTGATTGTGTCGATCAAAATCAATAGAAAACGATGTTTTTCAATAGAAATTGAAATCCTCAAAATCAATAGAACTGCGACATAAAAATCAATAGAAACATCCACATCAAAATCAATAGAAAATTTCCATAAAACCAATAGAAATTTTCCATAAATTCAATAGAAATTTTCCATAAAATCAATAGAAATTTTCCATAAAATCAATAGAAATGTTCTATCAAATCAAACGAGAAACACTTCTGACATCAATAGATTTCAGCGCTATCTCTGCCTCCACCACTATATATAATACCTCTACCTCGACCTCAACCTGTACCTTTATCCGTATCTCTGCCTGTATATCTCTACCTTTACATCTTTACTTCTTTATCTCTCTATCGCTCTATCTCTCTATCGCTCTACCGCTCTATCGCTCGATCTACCGCTCTACCGCTCGGTCGCTCTATCTCTCTATCTCTCCATCTCTCTATCTCCCTGTCTCTCTATCTCTCCATCTCTACCTGTATTTTTATCTCTATATATCTGTCTCTTTCTTTTTTCTCTTTCTCTATTTCTCTCTTTCTCTTCCCCACCCTTTCCCAGAAGGCTTCCAGCCTAACACTTCTTTTTCACAGCAGCAGCAGGGAATCTTGGGTGAAGCTTCTTTCGAGCTCTCCTTCGAAACTTGGCCTTGTAAAGGCCTCGGAGCCTAACTTTCAAAAACGGCTCCTGGCTACTGGACTTGGACGTGGAATTGGACTCAGGCATGGCCCTGGAGGCTTGGAGCTTACCTTTCAAAA